AAAATTTATTTTTACAATATAAGCTCTACTAATTTCTTGGCTATGGAAGCCACTATCAGATGAGTTTTACAATAGGCTTTATAGTAAGTTTAGGAATTGGATCTAAAAATTACATTCTTGATGGGAAGAAACATTTATATGAATGTGTTTTTTTTTCTTAAGGACTGACTAATAATCATTTGATAGCAATCAAAATCAATCTTAATATTTAACTTATTAGAAATTAAAAGTTAATTTTTAACAGCAGCAGAAAAATGAATGTTACCCATGGAAGTTGGGAACAGAGGAAAGTGGGCTAGAAACACAACAAAAGAAAATAGGCAAATGAATTTTGGTGGTATGCTGAGCTCCACCAACATTCTTACAAAATTGTACTCTACAAATAGTGACAATAATTCCTCGTGCCAGGAAAACAAGCCAATCCAGGTTCCTCAATTAAAGAGGCTACAGCCATTACTATTCTAAGCAAAAATGATGTGTATTTTTATTGTAAGATTTAAGTATTACTTTAATAATATGCAAATTTTAATTTCACTGTCCTCTTGTCATAAGCAAGGATAATAGAGCACAATTATTTTTACCTGTTTTTCCCAAGCCCTGTAATAGTTCTAAGCAATGCTACAAAACTTTAGAAAGTCTAGGAAAAACAAAATGGAGAATAAAGTTAAACTGGTTAAGAAAAACATATGGAAACACAATTTACATTAGGTGAGTAGAAGAAATTCAAGGTTAAAACATCATGTATAAATAAAGCTCTGAAACATTATTTATTGAAGAAAACAATAAGAGTGTATGGCAAAGAAATCAATAGACTACAGAGTCTAGTCTCTCCCCAAAGGGGAAGAACTATGGTAATGTCATTCAGCTCAGCTAGTCTTCTCCAAATTATTTCAACGAACTTGGAAACTTTCACTTTTAGACTAGATGTTTTAGATAACCAAATTGTCAGAATACAAACCATGCAAACAGAAGTCAACAGTCAAAAATCCACTGAAAGAATAAAACTATTTGGAACACAGTAAAACAAAAATCTGCATGAAAGCCCAAAGATTTAATTTACAAGCACTGTCACTTGCACATCTCTATGAAACTCCTCTAACAACTGTAGTCCACCCTATTCCTCAGTTATATGAATACCCTAAACCAAGCATTAATTAACACTTGGTGAGGGCTGGGAAGGTGGCTCAGTGGCTCAGTGCTTGCCTTGCATGCATGCGGCCCTGGGTTCGATTCCTCAGTACAACATAAGCAGAAAAAGCTGGAAGTGGCACTGTGGCTCAAGAGGTAGAGTGCTAGCCTTAATCTGAAGAGCTAAAGGACAGCACCCAGACCCAGAGTTCAGGCCCCATGACCGACAAAACAACAACAACAACAACAAAAACCACACACACACAAAGAACAAAAACTTGGTGATCATGCTATAATCCTAGCTTCTCAGAAGGCTGAGATTTTTGGATTGTGGTTTGAAGCCAGCCTGGGTGAAAAGATCACAAGACTCTTCAATTAACCACAAAAAGCTGGAAGTGGAGCTGTGGCTCAAGTGGTAGAGCACTAGCCTTGAGCACAAAAACTCAAGAGGACAGTAGAGTTCAAACCCCAGGACTGGCAAAAAACAGAAAGAAACAAAAACCCTTGGCAATCACCAAGTCCAGGCAAGAATTTCTACAATGGGATGATAGATAAACAAGGATTTTAAGAATTAGGAAGGCTTAAAAAAAAAATTAGCCAGGTGACTTTAACATTTAGAGTACACACTACAAATTCCTAACTATTGTGCAACACTCAACCTGCCAAGGATTTCATAAAACTTTCACTCAGAAAACAATCAAATGATTCAGTTACTAAGATTCCATGCAGTCTTCTTTGTATAACTATCATGGAATTGAATATAACTCAGGGAGTATAAGTGGGAGCATATTTCCAAGTACAACATTCTCATTCTCTAACTAAATGATTAAGTGCCTCAAGCTAGCTTTTGTTCATAGGTTAAAATTTAAAATCCGTTTTTATTAAATCAAACTGTTAATATGTATTTTTTACATGGCAGTTTTAAGATGCTAAACATTTATATACAATATACATAATTTAATCAAGAATGTAGTTGTATAATCTTGAACAAATCACTGAGCTCTAAATCTCAGAAGCATTTCTATGACAAATGAATTAATTTCCCATCAGTTTTTACTAACTGGACATGGACAGACAAGTTTTAGTATAAATGGAAATCACATCTAAAAGATTAACCTTGATAAAGGCTAATTAATATTGCCTGTTAGCTTTCACACAAAGGTAAGACATCCAACTGTAAATTTCTTTCGTTTAACAAGATTGGTATACTTTTAATCAAGCTGGCTACATAAGACCTCTATCATTTCACAAAATAAAATGCAAAAGCCATTTGAGAAGTCACCTGCAAATCAAACCTTTTCCATAAAATACAAGCACAGAAAATAATAGTATAGATCTAGTTTATTTCTGTCTGAAAACAATATACTCCACCGGGGAAAAAAGAGAAATGGCAATGAGGTTAAAGCTAGGGATAAAATTGAGCAAATTATATCCCAATAATTAATGTGTTTAAAGCATCAGCAAGGTATTTCAATTTGGGATTCACTAAGAAAGAAAAACTTTTTTTTGAGTAACAAAGCACACATACAATGCTACCAAATACTAGGTTTACTTAAATAAGGTACTGTTGAAATTCTTGGAATATATACCGCTCTGTATCAAATATATAACAACCGCAAAGTGTCAGTCTTGGTCATGAATAGTCTAAGCCATTGTCATTCCTGGTGGTAGCTCATTAACTCAAGGCACAAATTCTAGTTAATCATCTCCTTGGTAAGCGTGTCTCATTTAGGCAACCTGAAGTGATTCACTATAATTTATATTTAAATGAAGCTGGAAAATTTCATCAAAATAAAAGTGAAAGGTAAAATGAAAAGAGGTATATACTTTTAAAAACTAGATAAAAAGAAAGCAAAACCACAGAACCCAAGAATTCCATTTCCAGTTAAAATTCCACTACCAACCAACAAACAACCCCCACTACACACAACAAAAATGAAAAAGAGTTAAGGAACTAATGACAAAACAGCACTGTAAAATTAAATGATGGCGGGCAGAAGTATTTCATTTGGTTAATGTCTTCAAAGTGTCAAAATTCATTGCAATCAAAGATTTTAAATTTTGGAAGTCATCAATTTCCTCCTTGTCAACCTGATTTGCACACATCTCCAAAAATGATCCAACAGACTTTAACATCAATGATAATATTTTATGTTCTTGGCTGTCAGAGGAATTGTTTTATGACACTGTACAAGTTTGTAAATAGAATGTTTATTCAACTGAATAATTAACTGGTTATTCTGAATCTACACAATCTGTTACTTGCTGAAGTATATAGCTTACTTTTCACAAGATAAGGTACAGATCTAAATGTTTAATAAATTACTACTAATTTCTTTGGGATGCAAAGGAGCCCATGATTCAAGCCTAAAAGTATTAAAACAAACACAGAACAATGCTGTCCATTCTCCAAAGAAATAAAATCGTAATAATAAAGACAGAGTGAAGAGACATTTCAAGATTTCATTTACATAAGTGAAACTTTTAAAGTGCGTGTCAATTTCTTAACTCTCCAGTGAGACTTAATCTTGCTACTCCAGGACATAATTCTATACTCATTCTGAGGCCTGAACTCAGGGCCCAGGGGCTGTCTCTTAAGTTTTGTCACTCAAGATTAGCATTCTACCACTTTAGCCACAACTCTACTTCTGGCTTTTTGTTGGTTAATTGGAGATAAGAGGCTCATCAACCTTTTTGCCCCAGCTGGCTTTGAACCATGATCCTCAGAGCTCAACCTCCTGAGAAGCTACTATTATAGGTATGAGCTACAGATGTCCAGCTCATTCTTAATAGCTGACAGATGGATATTAGAGAGTCAGCTTTGGCATAGAGGGTATCAGTTGCATAAAGCAACTTTTTGAGCAAATGTGAGCACTATCCATGCATAGACTTTCTTTATAACATTCCACAGCACTTAATGGGAAAGCTATGTACCTCCATTCCTGCATACACAAAAATGGAATCACCAAAAAACCCAGCTGTTATACTTTCTGTTTAATGAAAAAATACTTGACCTATCATTTTCTCTTGCTCATTTAAAAAAGGCTAGTCCATGTGCTTAATAAAAAATGCCAATCACCTGTACACTAATGGATAACCACAAACTACTACTCTTCAAAGTATTAGTAAATACAGATAGATGAGCTGCAAAAAAAAGTGCAGCTCTGGAAACTCACTGATCCAAATGAAACTCCAAGAGAGGGACCACAAAGTGGAAATGAGAGCCTTGGTTCTGAATTAGCTGTAACAGATGAAAGACTCACTTCCTCTTAAAATTGTTACAAAGACATCAATGAACATATTAATCACTATTAGACATTCCCAGTGGTTCTTTAAAGGGTCTCACACGTGTCTGAACCATAGTCTTCTGTTTCAGGTTTCTGTAACTTGATGCCAAACATGACTGTAGTATCTACTACAAAATATAACATAGAAAATTTATATACCAATCTTTCATAGGGGGCCTGGGTCAATCTTGGATTTCATATTTTAATTCTATGACAAGAAGTGGAAATTTGAGTCCTGTATCCTGTCTACTGTTCAATGTGATACAAGATAATCAATATACACATATATCACCTTAACATACACCAACTGTCCCTACAGAACTATATACCTAGTAAGAATGAAGAGGTAAACTAGTGACAACACTTAGAACAGTTGTGTGATGTGAGGTAAAGTGAAAAGGGAAGGAAGAAGATAAAGGTAATAAAGACCAAACAACCTAATAGCAAAATCCAAAATTCTCATAGCACTGAGTCTGTTAATAGTGCTACTCCCAGTTTAAAAAAATTAAAAAAATTAGAAAAGGGTAAACTGCCTAATTCTTTCTCTTATATTTGTTAATTCTTAAAAATTAAAGTAAGAAAAAAATATGTAATTAAATGGAAAGTATACCAACTTCACTTTATTAGCCTAATTTAAGAATAGGAGGAGAATGGGGCTGAGGTCAGGTATGAAGAAAGGTTGAAACTTGTGATGGTAAGGATCCCTTCAAAACTCTGATGCAGTCCTCAATCACTGCAACTTGACGTCCATGAACAGAGTTGTAATCCACAACACTGAGAGCAGACTCCTGTTCTCCACTTCCGTGCCCAGCGATGGTTACAGTGTGATGAGGTCTACCAGGTTGCCTTTAGGAGGAGTCATGCTGTCAGGAAAGAAATTTACTAAGGTGTCAAAGAGCTGAGTTCTTTGAGCATAGGTGTGATCCACATCTGAAAAGCCTGGTGAAGAAGAAATAAACAAACTCATCCACTGTGTTCAAAGTTCAATATGGAACAGAATAGCTAGTTGTGAGCAACAGCGACATACAGTCCAGAAACACAAATCCAATGAGGCTTCAAAACCAGCTAGACTCCATTAATGTGATCTTACTTCTCTTACCTGTAGTGGTATGGACTGAAGTGACATCAGCCTCTTTGGCTGTTAGCACATCTGTTTTCTCACTATAAATTTGTGATAATCCTGTTTGTTTCACAGGACTATCATGAAGATTAAATGCAATTACGTAAAAAAGAAAAATACTTTGGGAACACCAATTTAATCTCTTCTTTAAGAAAATTTGGTTTTGACCTTGTAATGCTTCTGATTCACTAAATCATTCATTCATTCATTTTTGGGTCCAGTCGTGAGGCCTGAACTCTGGGCCTGGGAGCTGTCCCTCAGCTCTTCAGCTCAAGGCTAGTGCTCTACCACTTGAGCCACAGCGCTAGTTCTGGCTTTTTTTTTGCTTATGTGGGGCTGGGGAATCGAACCCAGGGCCTCATGCATGTAAGGCAAGCGCTCTACCACTGAGCCACCTTCCCAGCCCTCACTAAATTTTTTGATAATGAAAATATAATAGAACAAAATGAAAAGGATCAAAGCAGTCTAAAATCAATAAGGTGTTAAAAGCTTTAGCAGTACTACTAAGGAAAATGGGTGAAGATGTAGATGCTGAGAGAAGGAAAGAAATACATATATAATATACAGAATTCTGTCATGGTACTATTAAGCACATATGAGAATGTAGTAATAAATTACTTAATCTAGATAAATATTATCTGTTCAACTAAACAATTCTTCTCACTTTAGGTTCAGTGAAATGTATCCTTCCTTTAGTCAGTTGGTATTTTCAGCGTAGAAGCTTCCTTTTTGGGGGGGAAGAGGGCAGACGTGGGCTTGAACTCTGGGCCTGGGCCCTCTCAGCTCTTCAGCTCAAGGCTAGAGCCCTACCCCTTGAGCCACAGCACTTCTGATTTTCTAGTGGTTTACTGAAGGTAAGAGTCTCATGGACTTTCCTGCCTAGGCTGGCTTTAAACTGTGATCCTCAGATCTCAGCCTCCTAAGTAGCTAGAATTACAGGTGTGAGCCGCCAGTGCCCGGGTGAAGCTTCAATTTTTAGCAATAAATTAAGATAGTTAAATGATAAAAATAAATGAATTCTTATAAGTGCCATCAGAACCAAAACTGGAGACATAAAGAGTTTAAATATGCCATGATGGTTCAGAGAATACTCTTTTAAATCAGAATGATTCCACATAATTTAGAATGCTTCAACCTCACAATCTGCTTCAATCTTGTAAAGAATAGGAATGGAACACTGTCAAGGATACACTTTCCTGGAAGGAAATAATACCTCAAGAATGGTACATTCCTTTTTATTTTTAAAACTGTATTATTATTATTGTTTTGGAAGGAAAAATGTTTCCTTCTTTGAGCTGGGCTTAAGATTTAACAGGCCTACTATCATATCATAGAAATGAATAAAAGGAAATAGCCCAAAATACTAACAAAGCTTATCTCTGGTGAAATTGTATTTCTTTTTATATTACATTTTTCTGAAGTTTCCAAATGGTTTTCTTTCTTAAAAATTTCAAACCCATAAAAGTTTCAATAAGAGTGCATTAAGCACTCATATATATTCTTCACTCCTTCTCTTAAAATATGTTAACATTTCATCAAATGTTTTCTTATTGTGTGCATGTATATTATACACCACTCGTATCTATTTTGTGGAAATACTTGATGATAAAATTTTATACATCTTCACCCTTGAATTCTTAAGCTCAGTTAAGAAAAGCATGTCCACTTATATAACACACACATACATTACTGATTTAATCTTTTTGTGTGTGTGTGTGTATGTGGTTTTGGGATTGTATCCAGGCTCTTGTACATGTGGTATTGAACTACAATTCCTAGGATTGTAGTTAAAAGGATGTAACTGTTAAAATTGGATTTTCTAGGACAATTATCAGATGGAATTTAAGCCAGAGCAGTACAGAAGTGACATTGTCTTAAGAGCATCCATCAGAAGGTAGTATCTATCAGTTTGTCTCAGTATCAATGATGTTAACTTTGATACCATGGTTAAGTGGTGAGTGTCAAACTTCTCCAATGTAAAGCTATACTTTTCTATCTATGTAATTAATAAATTGCTGATGAGGAGACTGTTTGATATCTTATATAATATCTTATTTCTCAATATGCCTACTTTCAATGATTACAGTGGCTCTTGGTGAAAAAATTATTTATATAATGTTGACTTTTTTCTTCCTCTCCATTTTACTTGTTTTGTTCAGTATATATGTTTGATTTCTTCTCTTTAGACTTATTACTTAACATCATTCATTCTGATACTCATATTGTCCCAGATTTGGCCAGTGGGTGCTCTTTATCTGGCTCTGTATCTTTGAGAAATATAAATTTCTGAGCACTTCTTTATTTTCCAACACCGTAAGATATTTCAAGCTCATTCTTACATAACTCTGGAGTCAGTTCTTTCTCCAAAAAGGTCTAACTCCTTTTCATGGAAAATACTAGTTATAAACTAAAGAACTGTTATGCTACTGCCAAAGTGTTTCTAGGCCTATATACATACACATTTTTTGGGGTGGCATGGAGTCTGAAATCAGGGCCCTTGCACTTGCTAAGAGGAAGCTCTCTATCACTGAGCCACATGTAAAGCCATTTTTTTCCACTTTCTTTAAAAAATTATTATTTTTGAGGTGTGTGTATGTGTGCGATGGTCCTTGGGCTTGAACTCAGGGTCTGAATGCTGTCCTTGACCTTCTGCACAAGGCTAGCACGCCACCACTTGAGCACAGCTTCACTTTTGGCTTTTATTTAGTGTCTCACTGACTTTCTTCCCTGGGCTGGCTTCAAATTGTAATCCTCAGATCTCAACCTCTTGATTAGCTAAGATTACAGGCATAAGCCACCAGCAGCTAGCATTATTTCACTTTTTAGTATGACCCCTAACTGTACTGCTGGAGGGCTAACTAGTGTTAAGTATAAGAAGACCATGATGTACTTTATTACTACAGAGAAAACACGTGTTAGAAAAGCTCCATTTGGGTGTCAGTTGAGTGCTATTGATGTTAATGAATCAACCATATATATTAAACAATGAATCTTTAAATAGAAAGAAGTCAATGTCATATTCTGATCCGTTAAAACAAATGTCAAAAAGAGGTTCCCAAAAATGTAGCTCTATGTTTCCCGTAGAAACACTGATTCTGCATTCCCTAATTCAATGTCTCCTGTGGCACTTAAGAGTAAGCTCTGACACCATACTGAATCCTGGCACTGCTGATCACCAGTATTCTTTTTTAAATTATTATTATGAAAATACCATACAGAGGGGTTACAATTACATGGGAAAGATAGTGAGTACATTTCTTATCAAGCATTGTTGCCTCCTCCTTCACCAGTATTCTTTACAGAAAGCCTTTAGGTATCCCAGTTTTCATACATAAAAGATTAAAAAAGCAGCTACTTTATTTCATATGGTTAGTGTGGGATCCGATGGGATATGAACATGCAAAGAGCTAAGGATAACGCCTGACCCCATCATGGTAAGTGATCCATGAATATTACCTAGTTATCAGTAGGTCATCACTACTAGAACTAAAGATTATGAATACTCTAAAAATAGGTGAGCTACTTTAACTTGGTATCTTACACAGACCAGCTGGCCTTGAGAAACAGTGACAAACTGCATTTTCCTCCAGGCATAAGAGTTAAGATACAATCTGTATCTCCCATTTCTAATACAAAAACTATTATTTCTTTAAAAAAAACCCCTATGAACACGGAGTCAGATAGAAGGCTGCAGAAAGTATTTCACTGCAATCTAGGATTGATAAATGTAGAAAAAGTATAAAGGTTAAAAAGGTATAGCAGCCAGGAACTGGTGGCCCATGCCTGTAATACTAGCTACTCAGGAGGCTGGGAACTGAGGATTGCAGTTTGAAGCCAGCCTAGGGAAGAAAAGTCCATAAGACTCTTATCTAACTAACCACCTAAAACCTGGAAGTGGAGCTGTGCCTCAAAGTGGTAGAAGGAAAAAAAAAAGGTGTGGCAAATGCCATGAGACTCTAAACTCACAATTCTAACTCAATATCAACAGTGCTGAAAAGCATTTGAGACACTTATGTGAATGTCATTAATTCATTATCTGCACATGATTTTTGGAATGCAAGCTTTCTTCTGAAGGGAAGTGTGATGTCTGAAAAAGCCAATATGCTCTCTGGACCTGATTTTCCCCACTCGCCATTACCTCACTGAAAATAAGCTTAATTGCTGCAATAAACTTTTTTGAAGACACATTTCTGGAAATGGGCAAAACAGCACAGTTCAGTCTCAAAGGTGCCTACAACAATCTGAAATTCTAAAATAAAGATACCTGGAAGCTGTCTCTGAAGTCAGTCATTTTCAAAAACTAAAATACCAGATGCTTGTAAAATCACCTTTTGATTCTCTTGAATTTACAGATAATAAAACTCATTTAACTCTCCTTAAGAAGTTAATAATTGGATTAATTTTAAAGAGTCAGTCAAAAAGTTTGGCCATCATCATCATCATCACCATCATCATCATCATTTATAGAGCATAGAAAATGCAATATTCATCTATAACCTGAAAGGACTGGTGAATAACGTGTGGTTTTAAATTCTAGTTATAGGGGCTGGAAAGGTGGTTCAGTGGTAGAGTGCTTGCCTTGCATGCATGAGGCCCTGGGTTTGATTCCTCAGCACAACATAAGCAGAAAAAGCTGGAAGTGGTGCTATGGCTCAAGTGGTGAGTGCTAGCCTAGAGCTGAAGAGCTGAGAGACAGTGCCCAGGCCCAGAGTTCAGGTCCCACGACCAACCAAAAAAAAATTCTATTTATAAAGAGTAACATAACTGGACAGAAAATGAGTAAGAGCAAGAACTAGGATAACTAAGTCTGAAATATTATGAAATATACTCATGGATAAATAATTTACCTCCATTACAAAGCTGGCCTTTTTTTAACCAGACAAAAAAATAGTACCAGAGAGCGCTTGCCCTGAGCTGAAGAGCTGAGGGACAGCGCCCAGGCCCAGAGTTCAGGCCCCACGACCGGACCAAAAAAAAAAAATAGTACCAGGAATGCAGCAGTGTTTCCCTCATTATTTCACTTATTTCTCTCAGTATTCTCATACCTCAATATTATGAAGAAACTGATGTAAGGTTAAATAACTTGTTTAAGATTTCTTTTCTTTCTTTCATTTACTTGACACGGAGCTTTGAACTCAAGGCCTTATGCTTGCTAGGCAGGCAGGCTCTTTCTGCTTGAACCACACTTCTGGTCCTTTTTGTTTTAGGTTATTTGTTAGACAGGTCATGTGCTTTTTGCCTGGCTGTCCTCAGTCCACGACACTACCCCACATAGCTAAGAATTAAAGGCTCACATCGCCCAGACTGTCCTCTAATTGAAATCTTCTCAATCTCCCAATCTCATGTAGCTGGGACTACAGGCACCAAGTGTGGCTTCACAGCCATTTTAAAAATTAGTCAGCGGCAGAACAGGTATTTGATCCTCAATTCTAACTTTTGGCCACTATGCTTTATCAAGTTCTAACTACTAAACTATATTGTCTTTCTTTAGACAAAGTAGGAAGTAAAGCCTCTCAGGAATTTTCTCTTTTTATATTTTTATCTCATGTGCTTGTATTGTTTTCGATCTAAGGTTTGTTTAGAATCCAAATAAAACAAACTGTTCCTGACAAAATGTTAGCTGGCAGAGACAAAAGGAGTTAAGCTAAAATAAAAATATTTTCTGACACCATGTAACATATTTAAATTATTGCCAAGAAATGTTTGTTTTAAAGACTAAAGTTAGGAGATGTGGGGGTGGGAATTATGAAAGGGGTGACACTGATCAAGATGCATTGTATGCATAAACTGATTTGTTGGATGGTAACTCCTTTGTACCACTAAATAAAAGAATATAAAAAAAGAAAGTAAACCAACCAACAGCAAAAAACTCTAAAGGTTATGCCAGTCAGAGATAATTTGGCCCACTAATAAATAAAAATGATGGTCCTGTGATATTCATACATAAGGTACACACTCAACAATCAGGCTTCTAGCTTGGGTACTATTACAAATGAATACATTCAGAAAGGATTGAACTTTCTGAAATAATACTTATACTCAGATTCTCCATCACCATTTAAATTTCTTGTAGCCCAAGTATATGAAATGGTGGTAAACCATTATCTAAATTCTTAGAATATGCTGAAGTCATATTTTGTTAACAGCCTGCTTGGAATTTAGGAGTGGAAAGCCAGGAGCTGGTGTTTCATTGCTATAATCCTTGCTACTCAGGAATCTGAGTTCAAAGCTAGTTCAGGAGAAAAGTCCTTGAAAACATCATCTCCAAAATAATCAGCAAAAGTTGGGCTGAAGGCTTGGCTCAAGTGAGCAAGTGGTTAGACCTCTAATTTCGTTTCCCAGGAAAACAAAAAAGCAACTTATAACTCAGGACTGAAGTTGCCTTGATTAGTAGAGAATCCTCAATGATTTGCTTTGAAATAAGAAATGGCAAGACCTCAAAAAACACTATTTTCCCCCCATCGCAGTGAGTAGCACCATTATATAAATTCTGGGCTTTTATTTTCTGAGAAAGTTAACCTTAATTCAAGAGACAAAATGACAATGAAGAAATTTAACTGTAAGTGTAAATGTTATTATATTCTAAATATAAATACTTTATTATATCCATTAGAAGATTTCAATGCCGTTGTTCAACACTAGGGCAATCATTGGAGTTAATGGATTCACTGTGTAAACTACATTTTGTGGAGAATTGAAAATTCTCCTATTTACAAAAGATTACTAGTTGGTGAAAAACTGAAGCTACCACAATGAACCTCTGATTCCTGCAACTTTTTTGAACTAATTTTACTACAGCCTTGTCGAACTACTTGTTCATTAATATAATTTGATCCCCCAAGCCATATACATATATTTTTTTCAAGTAATTCATGAATACAAAATAGAAGTACTCTTAATGAAGACTGATATCAATATCAGAGTTTCCAAGAAAATTTAAGCAAATAACATGCCAACAAATTTCTCATTTTAAAGAAAGAAATGGTCATGTTCTCGGCATCTAAAATATTCACTGACTGCTCCATTGTTCTTTTGACATTACGCAACCACAAAAAACAAACCGTTCATCCAACAAGTAATATCAGCAAAACAGACTGAAGTCCAAAGTAATGCTGAACAAATTACTGTATTCTGACCATGCTGCTATTGCCATCTATGTGGATCATAATTCCTATTGCTAGTATAATAGGAATTGCAAATTGATCCATCAGCTGGTAGGTAAATGATGCTTAGAAAGTAAACTTTAAGCAGGTTATTAGAAAATTTACACGTTTTGTGAAAACATTTTCCATTTGTTTGGATTTACATTTCACTTAATACTGCTATCTTTCTTCCTACCTACCTACTTACCATCTTTTTGACTGTGCTAGGGTTTGAAGCCTGAGCTTACTAGTAAGCATTCTGCCATTCAAGCCACACCTCCAGCCCTAATATTTACTTTAAAACAAGCCAATATCTAACATTCAAAGTATTAGGACAACTGATATACTTACCTAGAGCTGTAAAATCGGAGCCAGATTTGAATAGAGCTGAAGCTAGGAGCTGAAACTGTAAAGAAAAATAGAAGCAAATTAGCTGGCTAACACACTTACAGAAAATAACCCTTGGAATTTTGACCATTTAAAGTTAGACCTATGCACCTGTGTTGCCCAGGTTTATTCATCAAATAATGGCAAGAATGACATCATATTTAAAGAATATGTTGACTTTTTTTCTTTTGTGATAGGGATATGCGCCGCAGCCCAGAGTCACCTCCAACTTCTGATTCTCTTGCCTCAGCTTCTTACTTGCTTGGACCATAGGCATGTACCATCACATCTGAGTGATATGCTGGCTTTTTTCTAGATGACTATTACTGTTTACCAAAATAGTAGACCAAGTCCTGAAATTATCTTATTAAAAAAATTAAAAGTATGTGTTTATTAAGGAAAAACAAGTTGACTATAATGAAAAGGAAAAACTATTCAGTTGGGACTCTGATCATATATGGATAGACTGGTACTTTGGATGGTTACTGAATTTTTAGTATAATGTATCCATTATACTAATATATAACTTCAAAATAAAAACATGCCCTTTATCTGATATCTCCATTTTAGAAATCAAACAGTAAGAAAAGGCAATTATAAGCTATCCAAAAATTACAGGAGCATGCATGGAGGTTACCAGAGTAACCTTAAGATTCATAGGAATTGCATTAAGCTAAGCAAAAGACTACTTTGCAGAGAATGAGAAGGTTTAGACAACTTTTAGTTTTTCAATCCATAAATATTTCTATTTAGGTCCTCTTTAATTCCTTCCTTTTTCTTTTTAAATAATGGGGATTGGGCCAGAATCCTGCCTTCAGTAAGCAAGTGCTAGCACTTGAACTTTTACTTCAACACTTTCACTTATTTACTTTTTGTAAGAAAACTTGGCAGAACTTCATTAAATAAGCAAACAGGCAAACAGACAAGCAGAAAGGCAGAGACACACTGATCTCTGAGAGAGGGTATTGCTAACTTCGGTGAGGCTGGCCACAAACTCTCAGTTCTTTGGTCTAGGCCTTCTAAGATGCACCATCACAGCCAATAACCTTAATAATTTTTTTTTTTATAACAGACTTATGACTAGAAATTTGGTTTTTTTTTTGTTTTTGGGTCCGGTCGTGGGGCCTGAACTCTGGGCCTGGGCGCTGTCCCTCAGCTCTTCAGCTCAAGGCTAGCACTCTACCATTTGAGCCACAGTGCCATTTCCAGCTTTTTTCTTTTTGCTTATGTGGTGCTGAGGAATCGAACCCAGGGCCTTATGCATGCAAGACAAGTGCTCTACCACTGAGCCACCTTTCCAGCCCCGAAATTTGGTATTTTTTTAATGGTGTAATAAACCAAGTTTTATGCTTTCATTTCCTGGCTGTTGGTTACCATCTCACTTCATCTTTGATCTCACACTTCTTATCTCTTACCATACTTGTTACTTCAGAAGTCAGCTTGTCATTCTGAACAATTCCAGACTGCTTCCATACTATCTAACATCTTTCTTCCAGTTCTCCCTCTGCTTAGATCACTCCCTAAATCTTTTAAGTACTGGTATACTCTTTTTTTTTTTTTGGGTCCGGTCATGGGGCCTGAACTCTGGGCCTAGGCACTGTCCTTCAGCTCTTCAGCTCAAGGCTAGTGCTCTACCATTTGAGTCACAACACCACTTCTGGCTTTTTTCTTTTTGCTTATGTGGTGCTGAGGAATCGAACCCAGGGCTTCAGGCATGCAAGGCAAGTGCTCTACCACTGAGCCAACTTCCCAGCCCAAGTACTGGTATACTCTTATTTGTAATTGAAATGCATTATGATCAACCTATTTGAGATCTCAACAACCCAATTTTCACTTGTATACTTCTAATTTCCTTCATACTACTTGTAACATTTTTTTCCATAACACTTAATTCTAATGGACTATATATAATTTGTTTTATTGAAATATGTTATTGTCTGTCTGTCTCACTAGGATGTAAGCACTATCTTGGCAGGGATTCATTGGGTTTGCTGATGTATCTCTCATGCCTAAAATGCACTGCATTTTGTAGTGAATCAATACACAGCTGTTAAATGAATGTACTCTGGAAACTCAGCAAAAGTACCATATAACTAATACAAAATGTGCTATACTGGCTGAAAACTTTTTTTTCCCCATTTCCTTCACTGTAAAAGCTTCTCCAAAAATGATATCCTTTTCTAGAAAAAAAACAACACTTTTTTTAGGTTTATTACAAGTTCATCACCTGTTTTAGAACCTATAATCTAAAAACTGGAGGAAACAAATATTTTGGTACACAGTTAAAGTCAACCACTGCTATCCTGATATAACTGTTATCTATCTAGATTGATTATCACAAAAATAACCACACATACACAAAATCTTAAAAAAAACACAAAAACAACCACCAGACAAACCAGTTCTGGTTACTGAAAAATCATTTAAATGAAAATGTTGTACAACAGAAGAAAACAAAATCTTATAGAAAATGTTTAGCAGTATGGCCTTTAAGTGGAATTATTCCCTAAAATGAAAGTGAATAGCACTTAGTATGTAGTATATTTCAACTATTACCATGGGATTTCTTTCCCCAAAACAGAATCAATTCTTGCTTAAGCCTTTAAGACATGAAATGGAAGTCTCTAATATACCATACATGAAATGTTATGATATTCACAACTATGTAGACTTGTAAGTCACAGCAGGTTAAACCAAACATATTCTGATTCTCAGGAAAACTGATACCTTCTTCTAATTCTAATAGCATCATGAATTATTTATCTCAAGGAAAGACAACTAATTCTGATACATAAAGTGCTAAAGTATATTCTGCTGATTCTATAAATCATGAAGGGTTGCAACTAATATTGAGTGAGAAAAAGAGAATTTAACAGGAAACTATGAAAAAATATTTCTTTGTTTTGGCGCTGAGGACATGCAGACTCTACTGCCCTGAAAGTACAATGAGCCTGGTACCTGGAAGTAATCTGACATTAAATCTAAAACCTGTGTCAAAGCTGAAGGGAAGAAAAGAAGCATGGCTTGATATTGCTATTACAAAGCCAGAGCAACACAAGAGCTAACAAGAAAATAGATGAAAGGGACAAAACTATCTATCATCAGCACCAATTCTGAGTGGGAAGGTAAAATGGACTATAGTTCAGATATTACTAGCTGGTAAAAGTTTATTTTGTTATAGTATGGTTGGCCAAAAGAAGAAATAGCAAAAGTAATCTTAGAAGTTAGTGGAAAGAGAGGCTAAAAACCCATGAAAGTCATGCAGGCACATTCACACAACAGATGAACAAATATGCCATTAAGAATACAAAATCTGGGCTGGGAAGGTGGCTTAGTGGTAGAGTGCTTGCCTTGCATGCCTGAGGCCCTGGGTTCGATTCCTCAGCATCACATAAGCAGAAAAAGCTGAAAGTGGCACTGTGAATCAAGTAGTAGGCACTAGCCTTGAGCTGAAGAGCTGAGGGACAGCGCCCAGGCCCTGAGTTCATGCCCACGACCGGAAAAAAACAAAAAAACAAAGAATACAAAATCTGTTGGGTGCTGGGTAATCCTAGCTACTCAGGAGGCTGAGATCTGAGGATCACAGTTCAAAGCGAGCCCAGACAGGAAACTCCGTGAGACTCTTATCTCCAATAAACCACTAGAAAACTGTAAGTGGTGCTATGGCTCAAGCAGTAGACTGCTCGCCTTGAGCTGAAGAGTACACGGACAGTGCCTAAGCCCAGAGTTCAAGCCCCACAACCAATAACAACAACAACAAAAAGAATACAAAATCTTTAGAAAACTGAATGGCTGCTGGCTTCTCAAGCCTAGGAATTACTGATGGAGGAAGATAATCTATAGCCAAGCTATTTTGCTACAACAACCTTGTACCTAACCATTAAGGAAGTACGGATTCCACTGCTACCAGCAGTTTTCATTTCTTTCAAGAGATCTTGAGTATCAACAGAAAAATTTATAGTTTTTTGTTTTTGCTAGTCCTGGGGCTTGAACTCAGAGCCTGGGCACTGTCCCTGAACTTCTTTTGCTCTAGGGTAGCACTCTACCACTCTAACCACTTGAGCCACAGCGTTACTTCTGGCTTTTTCTGTATATGTGGTAATGAGAGATCAAACTTCATACATGCTTGGCAAGCACTCTACCACTAAGTTACCTTTCCAGCTCTATATAGTTTTTATGTAAAAAAACCATGGAAAAGGTAAAAGAACAAAACAACTATTTCCTTCTCCAAATACAAAACTTCTAAGTTAAAATTTTATATTCAAGTAATTTTTTTAATGTATTAAGGTTTTTCTGTATAACTTGTTCAACTTTTATCTCATTTGCACAGAGACAATTTTTTTTAATTTATTTTTTTATTTTTTTGCCATTCTTGGAGCCTGGGCACTGTCTTAGGCTTCAGGCTTCTTTTGCTCAATGCTAGCACTCTACCACTTGAGCCACAGTGCCATTTCTGGCTTTTTACTGTGTATGTGGTTCTGAGGAATCGAACCCAGGGCTTCATGCATGCTGGGCAAGCACTCTACCACTGAGCCACCTTCCCAGCCCATGGGGACAATTTTTAAGATTAGTATTTTCTTCATTTTCCTTCAAGCAATCCAAGCTAAAGACATTTAAAAAACAACGTCTGAACTTTACTACCATCTTTCATTACCTCTTTTGTCTCTTCTGGGTCTGAATGATCCACCGTTATATAAAGATCATTTTGTAAGTACTTCAAAGCACTAAGAGGATCCATCTGGGCCTTTTCTTCAAACCTAGAAAATATAAAAGAATAATAATTATCATGAGTTATGAAAAAATGTAGATGAGATATACTGCATATAAAAGGAGTTACTCTGAATATCTAAAAAACCTGTATTTGGGAATCCACTGGAAGGATAATACAATGAAGACAGTGGAGACTGTAGTCCTGGGAAATGTAATAACAATGCCAGGTGTCTGTAACTAGTTGTCATACTACAAAATAAGGAAGAGTTCTGCTTACCCTTCTCTTAAACAATCAAAAACAAAGCAGAGAATATGTCAAATATTTTACATGACACAACTGGAAAAGAATCCAGTGTGTTTAATCAAACCAAGAGAAGGAGAATTGGAAGCATGGTTTAGTAGTAGAATGTCTGTCCCTTAAACGTGAAGACCTGCGTTCAAACCTCACTCCTTAAAGATATAAAATAAAATGCTTTCTTAGATTTACAGAACAGGTTTAACACATACTTTGGAAACTAAAAGTATCTAACATCGGTTAGCCTTTTTTTGGTGTGGTACTGTGGTTTTGAATTCAGAGCCTTGTTCTGGTTAGCACTGCCTGTTCTCATAAGAAACCTCCAGGGAGAAGTAATGTTACCTTACCACCTCATCCTCAACAGATTAGATGAGGACTGTGGCACCTAAGCCAAGAGTATTTGTATCAAGCTCGATCAGTAACTTATGGGCAGAATTTGTTCAATAGGAACACTTTCTCCAAGGAATCCTCCCTCTCTTAAGAGAATTAAAAGATGAGAAATATAAGGACACAATTGAGAAAGTACTAAGCAGAGTCATGAAATGGTAGATTCTATCTATACATTTATCTAGGCTGTGGGTAGTCAGTTGAACTGAAGTGTAGTTCAAATGCTAAAGTATACATACTAGCAAGCATGAGGCCATAAGTACTTCCCTCTCTCCATACCCAGTAGTAAGCTAAGTAGGAGACCAAGAAATAGAAGAAAAGCAGTTTCTTTTTTTTTCTTTTTGTCGGTAGTGAGGCCTGAACTCTGGGCCTGGGTACTGTCCCTCAGCTCTTCAGCTCTAGGCTAGTGCTCTACTACTTAGGCCACAGTGCCACTTCCAGCCTTTTCTGCTTATGTAGTACTGAGGAATCGATCCCAGTGCTTCATGCATGCAAGGCAAGCACTCTACCACTGAGACACTTTCCCAGCCCAAGAAAAGCAGTTTCTGACCACTAGAATTTCTCTAGTATCCTAAATAATTTTACTTTTGGCCTCACTATTCAAATGCTGAAAATATGTTGTAGTGTCATGGCTAGCTAGCCTTATGTTTCCTTTTTTTTGCTCATGGTTGGCACTTTACCAATTGGGCCACACCTCCAGCGTGGCTTTCTGTTGATTAATATAATGGACTCCTCTGTTGTGGCTAGCTTCAAAATAAGATCTCCCAGATCTTAGCTACTACAGTACCTAGACAGTTCCAAGCCACTGACCCCAGGCTCCCTGGCTAAACTAATTCTTTCTGCATGAGCTACCTTAATCGTGTACTTATCCTCTGTACTCTTAAAAAAATTAATTAACCCATTTTCCATTCTATTAAATTCAATAGAGTGCAGTTTCCTGAAAGGTGTTTTTTCCTTGTCTTTTTCTAGGCTACTCTTGCAAGTCCTATTACAAAGTATCACAATTGGTATCTGCAGTCTAAAATTTTATTATAATCAATGGTTTTGTGTAATATCTAAACAAACAGGAATTAACGCTATATATATTTTGCCCCTTTCTCTCAGAAATCATTGTCAATTGTGGGTATTAGAGTATTATATGAAAAAAATAATAGTGACACTTTATTTACATCCTTGGCATACAATGTATTCCTTTCCCTCTAAACTTGTATTTTTTATTTTTGTTGGTCATGGGGCTTTAACTCAACGCCTGGGTGTTGTTCCTGAGCTCTTTCACTCAAGGTTAGTATTCTACTACTTTGAGCCACAGCTCCACTTCTTGTTTTCTGGTGGTTAATTGGAGATAAGAGTCTCAAGAACTTTCCTGCTCAGGCTGGCTTTGAACTGTGATCCTTAAATCTCAGCCTCCTGAGTACTAGGATTACAGGAATGAGTCATATATATATGTATATATATGAGTCATATATATGTATGTGTGTGTGTGTGTGTATTTTTTTGGGGGGTGGAGGGGTCCGGTCGTGGGGCCTGAACTCTGGGCCTGGGCGCTGTCCCTCAGCTCTTCAGCTCAAGGCTAGCGCTCTACCACTTGAGCCACAGCGCCACTTCCGGCTTTTTTCTTTTTGCTTATGTGGTGCTGAAGAATCGAATCCAGGGCCTCAGGCATGCAAGGCAAGCACTCTACTACTGAGCCACCTTCCCAGCCCTGGCTTTATATATTCTTAAGTTCTCCTTCAAGGGCTGTTCTGAAATAAGTTCTAAGATGAGTTAGCATAGTTCTTTTCCCATACTACTAACTTTCCAGTCACATACTTCCTGCCTTTCAATTTCAGTTGCTTTATTTTGTGAACTACTCTCAAAAGATTTGCTGGTTTTTTATTACATATTTAAAAGCTTAAATGACTCATTATTGTTTTTTAAAAATTATCTAATTTCACTCTTTTATGTCTTGACTAATGTAAGTCACTAATAGTAATGTTTGTACTCGAAACTTAATTTTTAAAAAATAATATATATTATTGCACTCCTTATTTCTCAAGTGCTAAAGATTGAACCTAAGGCCTCATGCAAGGTAGGCAAGCACTCCACCACTGAATTACAACCTTAGCCTAACCATGCTTTCAAAGGAGGAAAATCACTGACAACATTTGAAAAGCAAAAACAAGCTGGGCGCCAGTGGCTCACACCTGTAACCTTAGCTACTTAGGAGGCTGAAATCTGAGGATCACGGTTCAAAGCCAGTCCAGGAAGGAAAGTCCGTGATACTCTTATCTCTAATAAACCACTAGAAAACTGGAAGTGGTCTGTGGCTCAAGCAGTAGAGTGCTCGCCTTGAGCTGAAGAACTGAGGGATAGCGCCCAAGCCCAGAGTTCAAGCCCCATCATGACTGAAAAAAAAAAAGCAAAAACAAAAATTACTCTCAGGTTGGATTGGGTGTGGAAAAACAAATGATCCCACATACTTTTGGAGAGAATGAAAACTAGCAACTTTCTGAAGACATCAACTCTACCACTAATTCTACAGAATTTCTGCACAAAACAACAAAGTAACTGCTATCATTAATCCAGAGTATTCTTACAGCAGAAAATAAGCGGAAGAGTAATCTATTCCATATAAAAAGAGACTAATCACTCTGAAAACCGTAACATTTCTATTGGTACTCATATGTATTAACACAAAAAATAATGCTTATGGTATTTCATTCATTGGTAGATTCAACACAACATGATCCCTATTTTTCAGTTACACAAAGTTAAAGTCAGCACATATGTGTAGTAAAAAGTTTAAAGAATATAATCCAAATATTAAACTATTACTTGTGAATATGGGAATGACGGGTGATTCTACTTCTTTTGAGAGAGGAAAAGATTTTCTTGTTTTTCTTTATAAAGCATTCGTTACTTTTACCATGAAAAATCAGAGGAAGTAGTTTATCAGTTAATTCTAATTCCTTACATATAGCTCTAAACAACTCCTTTAATTTCTAATAGGCCTATGATTAGGAAATACTTATATACAATTCAATCTTTAAATACCAGGTATATAAAAGTAGAAAAAAAATCACTGCAGTATTTCTGAACTAATACAATAACTTCTTCATAAAGGTTCAGCCTTTCTTAACTTTTTTTTAAGGCACATTTAATTTAGTAACCAGAGTGCAATACAGAGGTCCAAGTACAATGAAGGAACACATTCCTTCCTTAACACCAACAACGATGTTATTTTAACTTGTGCCTATTGGATGGGATGAGGGTTTAAGTTCACCACTGAAAAGAGTAATGCAGTGAATCTCATCACAGCCATACAACCAAGTTGTGAATGAATGTTTATAATGCTTCAAACAGTTTAAAGCTCATGTTTGATACCACACCTTGTCTGTACATTCCTCAGTTAAGATTATCTAGTTTTGGGGCTGGGAAGGTGGCTCAGTGGTAGAGCACTTGCCTTGCATGCATGAGGCCCTGGGTTCGATTCCTCAGCACCACATAAGCAGAAAAAAAAGAGCCGGATGTGGCGCTGTGGCTCAAGTGGTAGAGTGCTAGCCTTGAGCTGAAGAGCTGAGGGACAGCGCCAAGGCCCAGAGTTCAGGCCCACGACCGGACCCCCCCCCCAAAAAAAAAGATTATCTAGTTTTTAAAACTATAAGGCTCCTTTGAGGAATTCAGAGTTTTAAACTAATTAATTAAATATACACACTACTTGTACTGACATCTATTACTTGATTCTCTCATGGCAATTCAAAGTTAGTTCTTATCAAGTGAATCCTTTAAAAGCAAAATTCACTTCATTTTAGTTTTAACCCATAGTTCAACAACAATCATGAAGTCCACAGTCTTATTAGTAAAACTGATACACAGGCCGGGCACCGGTGGCTCATGCCTGTAATCTGAGATCTGAGGATTGTGGTTCAAAGCCAGCCTGGGCAGGAAAGTCCATGAAACTCTTACCTCCAATAAACCACCAGAAAACCGGAAGTGACATTGTAGCTCAAGTGGTACAGCGCTAGCCTTGAGCTGAAGAGCTAAGGGACAGCGCTCAGGCCCAGAGTTCAAGCCCCACAACCGACAAAAAACGAAAAAAACACACAAAAAAAACACTGACATACAATGTCTCTAAGTTACTGCTAAAGAGGTTAAGAGCAATGAATATTCCAGTTTTTACATTTCACAAGAATTTTACATGTTCAATTCATGATTTAAAAATCTCTAGGTTTTCAAATCCTCCAAATTGTCTGAAGACATAGTATGCCACAGACTTAAGACTTTTCTCCTATTTTCTTCAAACAGAAACATTTCTCAAGTGCCTACATGTTGTAGAAGGGGAATTTTTCAGAGATGGCCTCTTCTTTGGAATCGTCGAATGGTAATCAGGCCTCTTAAAGCAAGGGGAAGGGGAAGAGAAAAAGGCTGAAATACAAGGTTCATCTGGTAAGTTTTACATTAACCATAACTAATTGCTGGACAGCTTAAGAGTATGGTTTTTTTGGCTCAAAAAGTCTGAGTCTTGGTGTGGAAACAAGTATTTGGCTAACCCACCACAGCGTTCTTGCAGTGGGACTGAGAGAATATGATTTGTTTACCTCGCAGGCATAAACTTGTCTTTAGTCTGTTCCAGTTGATCATTCATTTTGAGGAAAAACAAGTTGATTACTGGCTCAAATATTGTAGATTTCAGTTGGGTAACTCTCTTGGCTGTTGTGAGGTACTGGATTTGAGTAGTACACTCTTGCATCTCTTGTGTAATGCTAGTGGCATTACAAGGATGTGTTCTCTTTCTGCAGACTCTTGCTGTGGCTGCTTTAGTTTTTTTCCAGACTCCCTTAAGTCAGTTACATCATTTGAGTTAAGATCTGTGTACTCACCCTCCAAAGCTTGGATATATGCTTCATACTATTTCCATTTTAGGATTAATGCATCTTGTGCTATAACTTTGAAGTCTGTTTCACTCAGAGGAATCTTTTTAGGAAGAGGCTCTTCATTGGTCATCTTGAATCCTCTCCAGACCTGGGTTGTGTGGATGCTGCCAGTTACAGTTACCCAGGCAAAGGCTCCGTTGCACTCAGCCTTTCCTTCTAAATTACTTAATCTTATTCCATCTAACATTATTAGTAACTCCAAAGGATATATATTTTTCTACACTTTTTTAGTGTTTTATTATCTACCAAGACTGACAAGCAAACACATTCTAGGAGATATGAAGGTAAATGTTTGATTACACAATTCTAGTTTTTAGAAAAACAATGTAAAATTATTTTGTTTAGTTGTAGTGTGAAACATCAAAAAAGATACTGTGTAATCAATTCTATCATCACATTCACTACTAAGAGTTATTAACAAGTCTGGTATATGCCATTACTCTAGAAGTGGATCTAATTTGTAGTGGGAAGAACTTGAGTAGACACAGTATACTCACAGAAACTTTTTATAACATTTGCAAAATTTCACTTGTTCTGTATTTTAAAATAATACTATAATTTAACTTTGTATCTCACTTTGGAAGAGGAAAACAAAAAATAAGAACAGGGCATTTCCAAAAGTACAATATTCACAAGATTCATACTATCTTCTTGTTAAAATTACAAGTCTAGAGATACAAGAGAAAGTTGTATCTCCAAAGCTGGATAATAGCTGATAATGCTAAAGATTTTTCAGTAAATTATTTTTATACCTGTGTTTTCTTATGAGGTACTTGCAATGCCTCAGTAAATAATCTTTTGATGGTCTACACAACTTCAGTGACCAGAAGTCATCTAGTCTCATCTTGGGAGAGCAAGATTTTCCTGGATTCCCACCAAATAAATAATGAACCTATAATAAGCAGAACAAACCAAATGAACCACAGAAGCCATAGTAAAATGTCTTCATTTTGTTATTAATGCATAACAGGTAATAACCTTTTTTTGCCTCATTCATCTAAAAAATACTTAGGTCACCATTGCCAAAGATTTCTCTTAAAATTTTTTCCTCAAATTTCCACTTTGATTTAAAGCATTGTAGCTGCTTTCCTAAAGCACATTTTATATTAAAGTAATTTATACTACCAAAATTACAATGATAGTGGAAGATGACACAAGAGCAATAAAATAAAAGAAGCCAATCCTCAAGGGACAGTTCATGGAAGACAACAAATAGTAAGGATTATCAAGTTAACTGTTCTTGAAATAGCACATATTTTTTAAAAAAGCAAAAAACGGGGCTGGGAAGGTGGCTCAGTGGTAGAGCGCTTGCCTTGCATGCCTGAGGCCCTGGGTTCGATTCCTCAGCACCACATAAGCAAAAAGAAAAAAGCCAGAAGTGGCGCTGTGGCTCAAGTGGTAGAGCACTAGCCTTGAGCTGAAGAGCTGAGGGACAGTACCCAGGCCCAGAGTTCAGGTCCCACGACTGGACCCAAAACAAACAAATAAAAAAGCAAAAAACCCTAAAATTTGCTGAATCACTGAAGGGGTCACAGTTAAATTAACCATGTCAATGAAAACGATTTAAGATCTTATTTTGCTTTAACTAAATGCCAAACATTAAAAATACCGTTCCATTCTTCAGTTACATACCAAAAAAGTGGAAGGAATATGATTTCACTATTAAAATTTTAATTCTATTCTGTACAAAGTTTTAAAGTATTTTTTTCAAATTTTGGAAAACTGCTATTCAATGGCACCTTAAAAATATATACTAAGCCGGGCACTGGTAGCTCACACCTGTAATCCTAGCTACTCAGGAAGCTGAGATCTGAGGATCATGGTTCAAAGCCAGCCTGGTCAGGGAAGTCCGTGAAACTGTTATCTCCATTGAACCACCAGAAAAAACTGAAGTGGCGCTGTAGCTCAAGTGGTAGAGCTCTAGCCTTGACCTGAAGAGCTGAGGGACAGCGTTCAGGCTCAGAGTTCAAGCCCCACAACTGACAAAAATAAAAAATAAAAAAATATACTATCTCTACAGTATTAGGTAGAAATTCATTAAAGCCACAAACTGGGAATTCCAAGTGGAAGGGCTTTTATTCTTTTTCATTGTATCTTTAACCCAGATGTCTCAAACAATATAGCAGACATTTTGAATATTCACTAGTGGCCTAAAGAGCAAGAATTATGTCATAAGCTTCTATGTAATCTGGGTCTAACCTCTAAACTATATAGCAAACTTAAAGGACAAATAATTTTAAAAAACCCCACTCTGATTACTACATGACACAAAAACTTTGGGATACAAGATCATTTTCACAAGACTAATGGAACAGAGGTCACATGATCATATGCTAAAATTGTGCATATTTTATTTAGACATTCATATTGAGGAAACATTTGCTCTATGTCTGACCTATTAAGAGGCAATCACTGGCTATTTTCAAAAAGAGCAATAGCTGGGAATGGTAATGCACATCTATAATTTTAGCACTCAGGAGGTTGATAGGAAAATTGTGAGTGAGTTTGAGGCAAGCCTGGCTACAAGACACTGTCTCAAAAAAAAAAAACAATCAAAGGAAAAGTGTCAAAAACCATAGACTATGCAAAAATGTTTATTCTCCTTAAATTTTTTTAGGGAAAAGTTATACTGAATGCCTATTAAATGTTTGTTCTATATTATGCTTTTATTCAAATCCACTTACAACAATCAAAGTATTTTGGGGGAATAGTCTGAATTGTAGAATATGGAATGTTTTACAGGTCAAAGTAGTTAGCATACCTTGTGTAACTCATCATAAACAAGCTGATGGGCAAATCTTGGACATGGTTCTTCCTCCTGTAGACTTTTACTTGGATTATCCTTTGCAGCTTGATCATTCTTATACACGCAAGACCTGTAAGACATTGCTTTTGACAACATTCTACTCCAGAAAGCTAGTAGCAAATAAAGACATTTATAAAAACTACCGCCAGGAAGTGGCACTGAGGCTCAAGTGATAGAGCGCTAGCCTTGAGCTGAAGAGCTCAGGGACAAGGCCCAGGCCCAGAGTTCAAGCCCCATGACCGACAAAACCAACTAACCAAACAACCAAACAAACAAAAACTACTGCCAATGTCCAAATAACCAACAGAAAAAAAAGTGCATTTGTTTACATCAAAGCTTAAGGTTTTGGTAACTCTCATGAAATAATATAAACTTGTTAGAACTGAGTTCTGAAACTCTTAAGTTGTCACACAGAACACTTTGGAACAAGCTATCTGATGCTTAGAACTGAAAAGTGATCTTGTTTATTCACAATAAAAAGATGCATAATATATTGTTTTCATTTTGGCTGCAAATAAATGTCCTATTTAGAAACAATTCCTTAGTTGGTGAGCATTGCTCTCCTTTCCTGGGGGGTGGAAATGGGGCTTGAACTCAAGGCTTTGCAGTTGCTAGACTGGCACTCTATCATTTGGGCCATACCACCAGCTTTGCTTTTTTGCTGGTTATTTTGCAGAAAGAATCCAGCAAATTTTTCTGCCCAGCTGGCTTCAAACCATGATTTTTCAGATCTGAGTAGCAAGGGTTAAAGGTGAAACCTGCTGGTGCCCAGTTACTTTCCATTTTTAAATAGAGGAAATAATTTGAAGTGTTTTTATTCTATAAAATATTTACTTATGGAATTTGAGAATTAAATCCTCTGCATTAGTTTTTTTCAAAGCAAACTATCAATACCCATTCTATAAAATACTCTGTAATTAAAAAGTCTTGATTTAGAAATGCTTAGTCAAACCCATACATACTCAACCATCTCATATATTACATTGTGATTACCACACAGACAAGAGATCCTTACCAACTATTCCTCACAATGTCATAGATCCAGAATGAATTTCTGACATTCTCTTCTCGCTTTTCTTTGTCTTTACTGAGCCCAGACAAGACATGTATTTCATTCAGTTCTGGATCAATAGTTGCTCTCTGTGTGAACCCTGTCATTGGAACTATAAATCAAGGGGGAAAAAATAAGATGGTAATAGTCATGTAAAGTAACATGCTAGTACTCTTTAAAATATTATGTATCTTTAATTACCTGTGTCCACAGTACTTATCTTCTAGCATCCTTCATAAATGCAAGTGCCACAAAGTTAAGAAATTACTTTGTTAACTACTCTGTGTCTAGTGCCTAGGACAGTGCTTTGTATAGAATTAATTTTGGAAAGAATAAATGAATACCAACTACCAGAATGGAGCGAGATCAAGAAAAGAAGTATTCAATATAATCTTTTTAGTCAGAGTCAGGAAAGGGTAATGTTTCAATTAGCCTCCTCCTTGCTTGGCTTTCGTTCTCAGCTAGTGCTCTACCACTTGAGCCACACCTCTACCCCAGTATTTTCCTGGTGGTTTTGGAGATGGAGTCTTTTAGACTTGTCTGTCCTGGGTGGCTCTGAATCATAGTGGCTCTGGAGCTCAGCTTCTTAAGTAGCTAAGACTATACAGCTTCTAGCACAAGGCTTCATATTTTTTGTTTTTTTTTTTTTGGTTTGTTTGTTGTTGTTTTGGGTCCGGTTGTGGGCCTGAACTCCCTCAGCTCTTCAACTCAAGGCTAGCGCTCTATGACTTAAGCCACAGCGCCACTTCCAGCTTTTTTTTTTCTGCTTATGTGGTGCTGAGGAATTGAACCCAGGGCCTCATGCATGCAAGGCAAGCACTCTACCACTGAGCCACCTTCCCAGCCTCTTCATGTTTGTTTTTAAAGGTGAATTTTAATCCACTCATATTTAATTTTAAATATTTTATTCAAGAATAACCAACATGTACCATTGCAGTATGCTGCACTGAAAAAATATTGATTTGTGATATACTATATTCCTTTTGGATTAAAATTCTGTACTCCATATGGTTAAGTGTTTTGCAATTATAGCACATCTCCAATTGTTCTACTCACAGTTTTTTCTTCAAACTTCCAGCATTAAGAAATTTTTCTTGTTTTCTATGGTTTTTATTGTTTTCTCATCTCAATATCCTCATTATGGCCTTTAGTATTGAAACAAAATTTGCTATTGCCAGTACAGAGCTTAGTATATTTTGAAAACACAACTGACTATATGTACCAATATCTAACATGAAATAATTAAAATAATGTATACAATACTGCAATATAAGCTTTTGATAAAAATGAATGTTATGAAATTTTATTACTAAAGTATGCCATAAAATAACTATCACTACTATAAAATAGTAAAATTATGGCATTGCTGCCTACCTTTCTTTGTAAAGAACTGACTATAGTAAACCTCATCTAGGTCTCTTCCTTGGTAACCAATGGACTAGAGCTTGGGCAACCTCACAGAAGCCTCTGCTCTTGTCTGGCTCATAGTTATCCCTTTTCTCCCACAAGCCCATTATAATTAAGCTCTCATGCCAAAAGTACATTTTAGAGGATAGCAGGCCAGGTCTATAGATATTAATCATCCCAAACTCATCATTTCTTTCAGTTTTGTAGAAGGAAGGCTGGGCTCGTCACCCAAGCCTACAGGCTCTTGGTAGTGCCAGCTATCAGGCAGCAGCACCACACTATCTGCTCTGTAGTAGGGTTTTCCAGGCGCCCAGATACCCTAGCCTCTTCATGGACAGGCTTCATGTTGTCTTCAAAAACCTTGCTGTTCCTCTATAATTTCCATCATCCTGGGGCCAGAAAGCTCTGAGGTGTTCTTAGCAGCAAGAGTCTGGGAAGCTGCCAGCATCTTACCCTTCTACTCTGTGCCCTTACCTGCAAGACAAAACAGCAACTCCTGCAGCTCCTTCTCCTTCTGGGATAGCTAGCTGACATATTCAGCTTTCTCCTGATAAAGCTTATCCAGGACTTCCACCTGTTCTTTTTTTTTTGGTTGGTCGTGGGGCTTGAACTCTGGGCTTGGGCGCTGTCCCTGCGCTCTTCAGCTCAAGGCAAGCACTCTACCACTTAAGCTACAGCCCCACTTCCCTTCCATCTGTTCCTTACAGATGCTGGAGGTCATCCATTTGATTCTGGTAGTCCACCTTGTCGGGCAGGTTATGCAAACAGCAGATTTTCAGCTTCTTCTTGGTGTGCTACTTCCCCTTCCTAAATAGGCCAAAGATACAGCTCTTGGGGAAGAGAGCCTAGTGCTCCAGCTTTCTTTGGCACTGGGCTGCCAGGTCACTCATGCATCCACAGTGTGATTCCTGCTCCTGCAGCTGCCAGCAGAGCTTCCTTTTCTTTTATTCAGAAATGGTTCAAGGTAAAAATCCCACATAGTTTGTGGGTTGGTTTCATCACATCAGGGGCAGTTGCTGCCTCACACTTCTTTTCTTCTTTGCTCATTCCTTCACCTTCCCTAAGTCAGAAAGCTCAGCTGGGCCTGCAGCTGCTCATTCTGATGTTTTGTTGCTTCTAGGCACTTCAGAGTGTTCTGTAACTTTTCATTTTCTATCTGGGCCCCCAATTTGCTCTGCACCTGCTCCTGCTTCAGCAGCTGGGCCTGCCTTATCAGGTATTGTTGCAGGGAGGGTGTCCTTTAAGATCAGCTTCTGATCAGAGGTGTTGAGCTGCTCATTAGGTGTCCCTGAGCTCCTGCAGGTGGGCAAGGTACTGGCCATGTAGCTCCTGCAGATTCTGAGCTGCTTGGCTCTTTAGCTCAGCCATCTCTTTTCCTTTTAATTTCTCTAGCTAGCCTAGCTTCTCCTGCAGGTTTGTCTGCACAAGCTGCTCACCATTCAGCCTCTGGAAGGCTCCTGAAGCTGATCTTTCAGTTCTCAGTTTGCACAAGCATGCATCTCATAGTCTCATGTTTCTTTTCCACTGTCTTGAGGACCTTATGCCAATCCTCCTCAGCAACTTGATCCAGGTTCTTGAGCTCCTTCTGCTACTGGAGGGCCTGGGCCTGCAGCTGCTGCTCAGCCTGAGATGATCCTATAGGGGACTGGAGGGAAGGCAGCTCTGACACCTACTTTCCCAGTTCCACCAGGTTGGTCTTGGCCCAACACTTACTTCACCCCTTGCTTTCTCCTCTCTCAGTTGGCTTATCTGCTCCAGGAGCTGCTGGACCTTCTCTTCCACCTGGAACTCTACACCCTCAGGTCCTCCACAAAGTTGTCTCCCTCCCAATTTAATTGTTATCAATTCTTTCATGTTGTCTAGTTGTCTTTCCATCTCTGCCTGCTCCACTAGTGCTTATTGTAACTTGTGAATTTTAATTTTCATGTCGGCTTTCTGTATAAGCACTCTCAGCCTCTTCTGCAGCTCAGTGTTCTCTTCCTCCAGGCTGTCATAGCTTCTGCATTTTCCTGGAACTGCAGCTTCACTTCATTCGGGGCTCTAATGAATTCTAGGTTGTTCTTGCCAGCCTCATTCTGTATGGTGGAAACTGCAGAACTCTAGCTCTGCAACAGGCTGTTGCAAAACCTGCAGGTGGCTGGAAGACCCAAATGCTTCAGTTCTCTTTCATTGGCCACCTGCTGCTTTTGGGTCAGGGCAGATTGTAAATCACATTTTTCTGAAATCAACATCTGTATTGATGGCTTGTGGAGCTCCAGTAGTTTTCATTGCTTCCTGCACAAAGTCATCTTCTCATTGTCTTTTTCCCAGTTGCTCCTGCAGGTCTTTCTTTTCCTGCTTTGATTGTTCCATTTCACTGCAGAGTTGCTGATTTTGCATTCTGCTGGAGTCCAAGACAAGCACCAGGTTTTGGCAGTGCCATTCCAAGTTCTTGGTGTTACTGGGACCAGTGATATTCTTGACTGATAGCTCTGGCAGGGCTCAATGGAGGGGAAGGCTCAGGGTTTGCATGGCCTTTAGTCACATCCTCATTTAAATTACAGTTCACAGTGGTGTTTGTCTTGTTGTTACTTCCCTTTTTAATATTCTTCTTTTTCTTGTATTCTGTGGCTCCTCCAGATGTATGTATTCTTGCAGTAGTTTCTTTTCTGAAGCTATTTTTTTTCCCACTTTGTTTGTACAGCACTGGCATAAGGAAAGTGAGTGGGGCCACATTCCCAGGCTCTCTGGAACTTCCTTATTCTTGTAATCACTACCAACTATGACTATTTGCTACTATATCTTTGAAATTAGCTTGACTCTATCATCGTGTAGTATCTTCTCTCAACCACTGGTAGTGATGTACGAAGAGGGGACTATCAGTGCTAGTAGGCAGCATGGAATGTGGTCAAGGCCTTAATTCTTGTAACCCATTGGTCAGAATGAGACATGAAAAAATAGAGCTGTGGCCAGAATCTTATGATCCAGGCAGAATGCTTAGAGGCCCAGTGACATCTGTATCTGTAGCCCCTCTCCTCTTCAGCCCAACCTACTAGAGGGAACCAGCTCTAGCTGGGTGCCTTGCTCTAATCCTTTGCTGCATATAGGGAAGCACCTTTTTGTAGGTTTTAACACAACCACTTGGAAATCAGGGACATGGCTACAGAGTTCCCCTAACAGAAGGCATTCAGACTCGGACTGATTTGTCTTTAAAATTCTATTTTGTTCTCTCTCACTAGGATTTCCAAATGACCCTCTGGCCTCTGTGGCGAGTGCCTGTATTGCTAGCTACTTGGGAAGCTGAGTCAGGAGGATCTCAGTTCAAAGCCAGATCTTCTCACCCAATGTTTGCATTTATCCCAGATGATGGAAACTGAAGGATTTACTTCTTCTCCATGGCTGAGCCACTCATGACAGAAAAATCTGCACGACACCATTCTTATAGAAGCAGCTTGGTATGGTGAGTGATACCTGTAACCTTAGCTGCTCTTGCCATTCTTCTAGGAGCCCTCAACTTCCAGCAGCAATGGTCAACCTCTTTTGACTATGATCCAGATCTTCAAGAAAGTTAACTACAAACTGATCCCAGCTCATCTGAACAGAGGCATGTAATTCTGTAGGTGGTGACTCCTCTTTTCTGTACCAAAGATAAAACTGCTTTCATTTCCAAAGGCTAAATGGCATGATAGCTTTGCTGTCTTTCCAATACTTCCTACTAGTTCCTAAAGCTGGTCAGTCCAAAAACTAAATTACTGTCCAGGTCTGCCAAGGTCTTTAATAATTTTGTGTCTTACTTCATGGCTCTACCCTCCATACAATACATTTCTATCCTTGGTTCCATGGGCAGGGATCCATTCCACTGTGCAGAACTTCAAGTAATGGCCCCTCCCCCACACAAACAGAGCCAACTGGCTCTTGTCCTGGCCTCAGTGGACACTTTCAGTCTTCCTTCAGAGTAGACTTTTGCTGTCCCCTTGTGTCAGACATGGTAGCAGCAGTCCCCACTGTTCAGGCTATAGCCTAACAGCCCACCTTGTCTATGTCCTTCACCACTGAGAGACTACAGTCACAGTGGTAGCAGTGATGTTGGTTGCAGCAGCAGCAGCTGCATCTCCACTTGTAAATAATTTTTATTTTAAAAACATTAAATATTTTCATAAGCTTGTAACCAAGAAAGCTTCTACTCTAACAATATAGTAGGAGGAAAATTATTACTATATAGGAGGAAAATAATTATTCTGTAGTAGTACAATATAGTAGGAAGAAAATTATTACTATATTTAGTTGCTTTAAATATACATACAAACAGAAATAATAAAACCTAGTTCCATTGAAAATTAAGAATTATCATTCCTAGCTCAGTAATAAATTAATGATAGAAAATCACTAGCTTCAGTCTTCTTAAATGGTCAAGATTTTAAAAGACTTTGACCTTTTAGATCAAAATCCATGTCTAAAACAGGGTCAAAATCAAAAGAACTTATTACACTATTTACTTTTAACTCCAAGAAGCACAGTAAGTACATTTTTAGGGCCAAAATTACAACATTTTGTTTTTAAGGCTTTCATGAGAACATTTATGGATAAATCAAATCTTATAGACATAACTCACACAGCGTTCCTATTTTAGTTTCATAGCCTAATAGAAGGAAATGAAGTTTAATATCAAAGTTTGAGATAGATAAAGCTTTAGGATCAATTGGCCCAGACCCCTCATTTTCCAATGAATAAGCAGGTCTGGAAGTTACACAATTTTCCCAAACTAGCAGAATGATGATGAATGGAAGACCCAGATGAAGAGAGATCAAGATTTTTGATTCTTAATTCATCATTCCTTCAATTATACCAAACTATTCTAAAACTATTAGAACAGAATGGAATAAACAGTGACAGGTATGGGAAAAAGAGAGTTGACAGAATTTAAGGAACAAAACAAGTAAACATGTAACTATCATAAAACGGAGTAAGGTTGTAGAGTTCCCTATCACCAATGCATAACATCTGTCCACTGGTGAAAGCTCCACATGTTTCTTACACTGAATAAATACAGATTTGCAAAAGTAATCTACAGCCAATCATGAAGCTCTGTAACATATCATCCCCAATAATAATCCACAATTAAGAGTTAAATACAGCGCTTACATATGGGGAGTCTGAAATCCTTGTGTTCACAGCCTTACTGCCAAAAGTTATTCAGATATAAACCCAAATGTTAGATATGCTGAATTTTGATGTAATTATGTATGTGTCAGACAAACTGCTAATAAATCCTTTCTAAGCAGCTGCCAATCCATTGATTTAAATTGTAATTTCTGAAGGGAGAACAGTGAAGTAGCCTAGTTTCTTTTCTTTCTAACCATTCTTCACCCTTTATTTCTCTAATTACAGTAATTCTGAATAAGGAAAATTAAATTTTCTAATTCTATCTGTTTAAGTAGCCATAAGTGAACCGTGATGTAGTAAGGGACCCCTCGCTAACACTGCTACCTCAGATTTTTACCTATCATAGAGTCTCTGGAATTAACTCCCACAACAGGTGAGGGATCATTGTGTTACGAGTATAAAAATTACTGTTGCACATATTATCTTTACTTTACAAAAGAGCCATGAAAAACATGTATTTTATGCATAACAGCTAAAAGGAAGAGTAATTTCTATTCCTATTGCTCAAATTAGGCATTTAAATCATTGGCATTAATAAAAGCCACTCTTCTGAATATAGTAATCATAGGCAGGGGAACTCCTAAATTGGACAACTGTGTAAATTACCAAAAAAAATATACCTTTAATAATCAATAGGACACTAATTATTATATGCAAGGGCAATAAGCTTAAGCTGATCAAACTAATCACTTTATTACTAGAGAAGATACTTTTTAGGTGCTGATCTTATAAACTCACATTATTAGCAATCACACAAAAATCTCCTTTAGAATAAAGATATACCCCACTATGATAGTAAATAATCTGTATTTCATTATAGTGAAAACAGAAGATAGGAAGGCTTAGTTAATGGAGAATACAGTATTTAAGATACTGTAGTAATACTGTAAGATACTGAAAGCAGTATCTTAAATACTGTCTATTCCCCTATAAGCAGGCGAAAACAATTTAGTGTTTTTCTGCTTGAAGAAAATAATTTTTTACAGTGAACTATTTTGGTGGGGGCAGGGTTTCATTCTTGCTAAGCAGGAGCTCTCCCACTGAGCCATAATTCATATGTTTTAAACAGATAGAATTAGAAATTTTAATTTTCCTTATTCAGAATTACTGTAATTAGAGAAATAAAGGGTGAAGAATGGTTAGAAAGAAAAGAAACTAGGCTACAGTTTTTCACCTAAAGTAGTTGAAGGATGAGAGAAGAAATCACTAAATGTTCTTACCCATCCCAGAGTCTTTCTTGGTGCCATCTGATATTATGTCCACATGGTCAGAGTCCACATCATAACTAAAGAAATCATTCAAATAGGTCTTTGATCGCTGGCCACCAAAAACATACAGACAACGATTTTTCTAAAAAAAAAAAAAAAGAACAGGAGAAATTTGTCACCGCTATTTCAGAATGATCCTTTCAAATATAGACCTCTACAAAAGTAGTTTATGATCGTTTCCATGAGTACTAAACTAGAATAAGGAGGAACAGAGGTCCTACTAATAGGTACTGTTCAGGATAACACATTAAAGTAATAGAGCAAAATACAGAATAATGCATACAAATTGCTACCTTTCTACATGAAGAAAGAAAGTGTGTGTGTGGGGGGTAGGGGGAATGTGTGTTTATGTGTTGGGGATATGAGAATGACTATTTGGACAAACCAAAACCTAATTACAAAGCCACAAAAGATACTATGCTGGAAATGATTTGTACAACTTTGGTGGGGGAAAAGGGAAAGAGGGAAAGAGGGAGAAAAACGAGGGGGTAACAAGTTGGACAAGAAATGTACTCAGTACCTTACTTATGTAACTGTAACTACTCTGTATAACACCTTGATGATAAAATTAGTATTAAAAAAAACTCAAAAACAAAGCCAGGTGCTGGTAGTCACAACTGTAATCAATCCTCGCTACTCAGAGGCTAAGATCTGAGGGTCACAGTTAGAAGCCAGCCTCAGCTAAAAAGTCCTCATGAAAATCTTATCTCCAATTAACCACCAGTAAACCAGAGTGGTGCTGTGGCTCAAAGTGAGAGAGCACTAGCCTTGAGCAAAAAGAGCTCAGGGGCAGTACCCAGTCCCTGAGTTCAAGCCCCATGATCAAGGCGGGAAAAGATGGTTAATTAAGTTGGGCACCAGCGGCTCACATCTGTAATCTTAGCTATTTAGGAGGATCACAGTTCAAAGACAGCCTAGGAAGGAAAGCCGGTGAGACTTTTAACTAACCACTAAAAAAAGGCTAAAATGAAGCTGTGGCTGAAGTGGTAGGGCAGAAACAGCTAAGGAACAGCACACAAGCTCTGAGATAAAGCCCTAGAACTGGCACCAAAATAACAAAACAAAATACTAATGGGAGGGGGGATAAGGCGGAGAGGAGGGGAAACAAAGCTCCTTTTAATTACTGTCTAAAACACAGGGATAAAAAACTGAGCCCTCCAAAAATATCTTGACTTATGGTTTAAACTTTATAACCATATTAATAAGAAAACAAAACTAAAAGAAAAAACATGTTGGGGAGATACAGGAGTAGTCTAGTTCAAAGCAGCCCATGAAAAAAAATTAGCAAGACCCTATCTCAAAAAATAAGCTGTATACCTGTAATCCCAGCTATAGAGCAACCTGAGGTAGGCCCTAGGCAAATAACTAAAATTCTAACTAAAAAAGTAGCTAAAGCAAAAATGGCTCAAGCAAGCAATATAATGAGAGAGAAAGAGAGAAATAAACCTAGGCACGTAAGATATGACCACAAAGGATCATAATCATATTGAGAAACATTTTTAGTGATTTCTTTAATTCACGGGTTTTTTTTTGTTTTTACATTTGTAATGGGTTAAATCACAAACAGAAAAATAAATCAGCAATCTTACACAGTACTTAATGATTCTGTCATTTTCAAAACAATTCGAAGCCAGGCATTGCTGGCTCAAACCTGTAATTCTAGCTACTTAGGAGGCTGAGGATTACAGTTCAATGCCAGCCCAGGCAGAAATGTCCGTGAGACTCTTATCTCCAATAAACTATTCAGAAAAAGCTAGAAGTAGTGCTGTGGCTCAAGTGGTAGAGTATTAGCCTTGAACATAAAGAGTCTCAAGGACAGAGCCCAGGCCCTGAGTTCAAGCCCCAGGACCAAAAAAAAAAAAAAATCAAAAGTAAGTGATACAATAGTACTGTTATAAAGTAGGATTTTAATTTTAACCAAATAAATTATCAAAGTTATTAAGAAAAAAAATTTAATTTCAAGTACGTTTATTAGTATGACTTTATAATTTTTCTCTCACTAAAAAAGAAACCTGTACATATGGGTGAGGAAGAACATCAAACAAAATAATGACAGCACTAAATTTCAAAACATCAAATACATAAAAATTTGTGAGTTCGTAAGTATATGTATTTAAAAACCTCACCAGTTAACTTCAGAACCTCATTTAACTAATGTGAACAGTAATACAAAAATTATACATTTTTATCACTTATGCAGTATGATTTACCCATATGGTAACCAAAAATACTTCATGAAGTAGAGTCACAGTTCTTAAATATAAAATAAATTACATCATTAGAACAAAATCACTACTTCATTAATCCAGATGATTATCAATATTGGGCTACTATAACCATTAAGTAAAAATTATAGGAATCTCATAAATGAACCATCAGGATGATTAACACCTGTACGGGAAATATATCAAAAGTATAGACACTAGCCATAAATGCTTACTGGTAATTTTTGTCAGTTGTTGGGCCTGAACTCTGGGCCAGGGCGCTCTCCCTCAGCAATTCATCTAGCACTCTACCACTTGAGCCACAGAGCCACTTCCGGCTTTTTCTGTTTATGTGGTGCTGAGGAATGGAACCCAGGGCCTCATGCATGAAAGGTAAGCACTCTACCACTGAGCCACCTTCCCAGCCCCGGGTATTTTTTTGGTTGGTTGTGGGCTGAACTCTGGGCCTGGGGACTGTCCCTGAGCGCTCGCTCTACCAGTTGAGCTACAGTGCCACTTCGGTTTTCTGGTAGTTAACTGGAGATAAGAGTCTCATGGACTTTCCTGCCTAGGCTGGCTTTGAACTATGATGCTCTGATCTCAGCCTCCGGGGTAGCTAGGATTATAGATGTGAGCCACCAGCACCTGGCACTTACTGGTATTTTTAAACTCAGAATATTTATGAGGTATTCTTGAATGTTCTATCTTAGCCTTCCCAAAAAGGATGCTGAATCTAAAATCAAGCCTCTGCATATAACTATTAGTTAGTAGAAAGTATGAAGAATAGTAGAATATACTAAATGACACTATGAAGATAAAATCAGCCAAAGTGAGAATGTACAAATGACTCAAGATTCTTTAAACAAGTAAGTTGTACATAAGAGAAAAAATAGTGTGAGAGATTAGTGTTGCAGATTACAAGAAATTTAAGAGCTATAATGCAGTATATAGATTTCATTTTTTCGGGGGAAGAGGGAATTTCTGGTTAGAACAAACCAACTCTGAAAATTTATTTTCTGGGCCGGAAAGTTGGTTCAGTGGTTGAGTGCTTGCCTTGAAAATTTATTTTCTGGATTAGGAAAAAAACAAGAGCAGACAGTATTACTTAATATTAAGATTTTTTTTATTTTGGTTAGATATAATAAAATTTATTTTTAAAAATGTTTGTTAAGGTAATATAGTTGTCCTTCAATATAGGCACAGTATTAGTTCTAGGTGCTCATGAGGATGTTTATGTCCCTTATATAAAATGGCATAATATTTGCATATAACCTAAACACTTCCTGTTTTATAATTTGATAAGGTATATGCTACATAGTTGTACAGTATGATTTAGGGAATAAAGACAAAATGATTACACATTGTCCACTGTAGACAAAAACTTTTTGGTACTTTAATTCCTGGTCAGTAGATTCTGTATATGCAGAAGCCACAGACACTGTAAGACCAATTTATTAAGAGTTGAGATTTACTTTAAAACACTCTTAGCACAATGCAACTTAAGAATAAACTTACAAACATCAAAGAAATACCAAAGGACAGTAAATGTATGAAAAATGAACAGATTATAATTATTGTTGAAACTGATAGATGAATACAGAAACTTATTATTCTTTTTACTGCATAGAGAGAACATGTTTAAAACACACATTAAAGGGAAGCTGTAAAATGTTTTATAAAACTGTTTTAAACAGCTGTGTTCACAAAAGTCTCAGACTGCATTAAAACACTTGAAAAAGGTAAAGCAAAGACTTTATGTTGGTTTTGGAAACTTTAATACTAATTCAATAGAATTCTTTTTTTTTTTTTGGTTGGTCTGGGGCTTGAACTCTGGGCCTGGGTACTGTCCCTCAGCTCTTTAGCTCAAGACAAGCACTCTACCACTTGAGCCACAGCGCCACTTGTGGTTTTCTGAGTCATTTACTGGAGGTAAGAGTCTCACAGGAGTTTCCTGCCTGGGCTGGCTTTGAACTGCAATCCTCCGATCTCAGCCAGCTGAGTAGCTGGGATTAAGGTATGAGCCACCGACGCCCAGCCAGAATTAATTCTTAAATCTGTGTGCTTAATGGAGAATAGGCAAAGGGGAAAGTAACAGATTAAAAAATTGCCCTAAACTGCTAAGTAAAATCAGTAAGTAAAAAGTTGTTAGAAAGTACAATAGCTACCCACTACCTGGATAAACAATCAAGGTCTTCATAAAGCTGTCTAGATTATTATTCAGGTAATAACTAGTTTGGAACTATTAGGTTAGTAAGAGTCTCAAAGAGCAAACAATTCACTGTTAAAGTTTCCTTTTTCTCCGTCACTGCTGCACTACTCATTTAATTCTAGTGAAAAGCGTTGACCCCTTACTGAAAACTATCTTACCATTTCTTTTCCTATAAAGATACACATGACAAAACAACATATTCCAATGTATATTCTTACTGAGTGAAATAGCATGCAGTGTCCTATCCGAGACTGGATGTCCTCTGGCCCTGCATTACAAGAATCCTCTCGAAGAAGTTTCCAGGTCTGACACTGACAGTTGAAAGCAAATAGGCCACTGAATTGTGGTTCACTGGCTCTGCTGTCATCTACACTGCCGTTACATGTCAAAATTCTGCCACCAAAGGTGTAGATCATGTGTTTTTCTGAGTCCATACACATCTACCAGAAAAAGAGAATGCATTATTAGTTTTAGTTTATTCTAATCATATCTACAAGAATTAAGCCAATGTGTATAGTTTTACATTTTCAAAAACACCAACTGAACTTTGTCCATAAGTCCTTCATGACCTTAAATACCATGCTCTATACCCATACCACAATCCAGCTCTCTTCATGACAGAGATTCAGGATAGATTTCTAAGTATCTTTTGAGGCTTCTAATCCAAGTTAAATATGTTAAGAAACTGCTTTCTTGACACGAAATAACTTCTCCCCAAATCAACAAAAGATATATGACATGTTGATTTAATACTGAACAGAGTATATCAGTGAATAGCAATCAAATCCTTCTTTTCATCCTACTTACAGGAAAATTCTTTCTACTCTAAGAAAGCATCCTAATAATGTTACTTGTTTAATAAGAAAGCAGATATGCAAGACTGTTGCAGCTATTCATCCCTGAATGTACTTTATAAAACTCTTCAAATTATATAATTTCAAAACAGTAAAATAAAAAGACATTTGTAAATAATCTGTCTCTAGACTGACTTCTATAGTGTGAAGGCTTCTGTTTCCTTTCATGCATTATAAATTTAATTTTCTTTGAATTATGCCATAGTTCATTTACAAATCAATTGTGAAAGCTGGTGCTGGTGGCTCAGGCAAGACACTTTCTCAATGCAGAGCTGGATATGATAGCACAAACCTGATGATCAAAGACCAATTTTGGCCCGCCATCAGCAGCAGTATCTTCACTTAGTAGCATCCATGTGTTTGTGTCAATGTCATAACGATAGAAATCACTTTTCAGAGATTTGCTGTTCCTCACAGAGGAATCCAAGTAACGTCCCAATGTGTAGATTTGTCTGCGTTGAATGTCAATGCACATTTTATGACATGATCTAGCACTAGGACCATTCTGTGGAAAAGAAAAATGTGTAGGGAGTCAAAGAACAAACAATAAAATTAAAGGCTATTTTTGGGGGGGTTACCTTTCATTAAAAGATTTGCTCAGAACTCAAATGAAATCAATAATATGGGTCCAACACTAGACTTAAATTTTTAAAGAAAACAAAAGCAGTAGGAGATGTTAATTTTACCCTAGAAATATTTAAAGCCTTGGAAGTGGCGCTGTAGCTCAAGTGGTAGAGCACTCGCCTTCAGCTGAAGAGCTGAGGGACAGCGCCCAGGCCCAGAGTTCAAGCCCCACGACCAACCAAAAAAAATATATATATATTTAAAGCCTTTCAGGGAAGATGAGATGAACAAACTTGGACCCTGTGGCATCTGTTTATAATATCCATATGGCTTCTATTATATACCCCATTATATTTTAGTCATCTGTGCATTAAACTAAATTCCCTATTTGTTTAAGTATTTTTATCTTTAAAAACATTTTTTGTAATTGTCATAATAAAGTATAAAAGAGGTAGAAGAAAGTATTTGTAGCCAGGTGCCAGTGGCTCACACCTACAATCCTAGCTACTCAGGAGGCTGAAATCTGAGGATCGCAGTTCAAAGCCAGCCTGGGCAGGAAAGTCCATGAGCCTCTTATCTCCAATAAACCACCAGAAAATTAGAAGTGGTGTTGTGGCTCCAGTGGTAAAGCGCTTGTCTTAAGCTGAAGAGCTGAGGGACTCTGAGCTGAGGCACAGAGTTCAAGCCCTATGATCAACCAAAAAAAAAAAAAAAAAGCTTTTATGAGCAAGGTGCCAATGGCTCACATCTGTAATTCTAGCTACTCAGGAGGCTGAAGTCTGAGAATCACAGTTCAAAGACAGCCAGGAAAGTCAGGAAGTCAGAAAAGTCTGTAAGACTCTTATCTCCAATTAATCACCAAAACACCAAAAGTGGAACTGTATTCTCACTTTTACAAGTAAATTTTGATAAAAAGGAAAAATAGTTGTATTTTTGTAGGTGATTGTGACTAATGTGCTAAGATCCCACTAAAGAAATAATGAAACTGAAGCACAGGAAACAGGAAGTCTGATGAATAAGACTGTTCTGCCAGACAAAAAAAAAAATCACTATCGGTATCTAGAATAAGACAGAACACACGAAAAAAGCAGTATTCTAAAAAAAGGAATGCAACATAACTAATTTACTTTTAAATAAAAGATTATTAGACAGTATTATTAATTCATGTTGGGTTATTTTGTGTGTTACTAGGAATCAAAACCAGCTTGTGAATGTTAGGAAGTACTCTATTTGAGCTACATCTCCAGACCTAGTATCAGTAATTCAGATATAAAGCTGATGAACTTATGTTTAGAGTTAATATAAATTACTATCTTTAACATTTTTAAAGGTTTTGTCAAAATTTCATCAGCAAGTTTATTTAGAATTACATAATTAAATAATTTCATAATTAAGTAATTTCAAAAACAAAAACAAAGGAACAAAACCCATGCCCTATTTTCTAGAGGATGGAATTTGAAAACCTAAGTAGTAACAAAATGTCTTGCCAGCTAAATTAGGAATACTATTATAACATATATATATGTATATATATATATATTATACCTTAAGAAAAAAGTTAATAAAAACTGGTAAAATTGAAAACACTTAAAAATAGAGGAAATTAACCAGTTGGTTTGGTTCAATTTTTTATTAAAGAAGGGGAAATACAAGTTAATTAGATCTACTGAAGAATTAAAATTATCATTTAAATTATTTCCTCAGACTCAGATATTTACACAGAGCGCGCGCGCGCGCGCGTGTGTGTGTGTGTGCGTGCGTGCGTGTGTATGTATCTGTCTTGAACTGGGGCTTAAACTCAGGATTTGGGTGTTGTCCCTTGAGCATTATACAACTCTACAAGTTGAGCCACAGCTCCACTTCTGGCTTTTTTGATGCTTAATTGGAAATAAGAGTTTTAAGGACCTTGTTGCCCATGTTTGGATCGAAACACAATCCTCAGATCTCAGTCTCCCGAGCAGCTAGTATAACAAGAGTGAGCCATTTGTGCCTGGCCCCACAATGGCAAATATTATCAAGCATGTAAAAATGAAATATCCATTTTAGACTTTTTCCCCCAGAAAATAGAGAAAAAAAATTTAAGCTTAATTTTGTTCCATTTCAAACTTAATTTTCTCAGGACTGAAACTCAATTAATGTTACAAAAAAAAAGAAGGTAGTGGGAATAGAAGTTTTTCATTCAGCTTATGGAAGTTAAGAAAGACTTCAGAAAGAAGTGAAGTCTGAACTGAGTTTTAAAAAACAGGAAAGTAATTTACTAGTTAAAAAAGCTAGTGGGGAGATCCTCTATTTATCTCCAACAAGGAAAATACTGCCAAATGAGACAAGGGAGAAGTTGAGTAATTCCAGAAATGGACAAGCAGTATACAAAGTCAGGTGATAAGTCTGAAAAAGTAAGTGAAAGCCAAACTTCGATGACAAATTTAGGGCTTTTACTCTAAGCAAAAGAAACTGAGAAAAACTACTTATATTCACTATTCCCACTTCTTTGTATCTGTCTGTTCCCTTTAGCAGTACCAACACTAATTGGACTTGGCTACGCCATTTCTGCTCAGTAGTGAGACAACAAATTTGATGGAAAAGCTGGTACTTCAATATTAAAAACAGCCAATTCTTACATACTTATTTAGGGTAAGAAAAAGAAATCATGAATCTCAGTATCTTTTTGAAAAAAATAACAATTATCCCAACAATTAACCAATGGAATGGAGTAAGAAATAATCCAACTGAATTCCACACCACCAGATCTGACCCTTCCTAAATAAAAAAAGTCAGTTGGTTGAATTAGGTCTTTCTTTCCATATTCACCTTCAGCTTGTTTGGATGTACTTTAAGTTTTAATTTACAATCTGTAGCAGCTTAGATGAAAGACACACAAAGGTTCCACAAAGATTTGGGGGGAAAGTAATGAACTATTATTTGCTTTATTCATGTATTTGTTTCATTCAAAGCCCAAGCCACCTTCTTCCATATCAAAATATTTATATATACATAAATATATACATACATAAAAATTAATTGAAATATACATCATATATGAAAGTTGATATAGCGTTGTGAACAGCTGAATAATGATGATACATTCTAGGCAATGCACTGTTAGGTAATTTAATCATTGTGCGAATATCACAAAGAGTATACGTTTATAAATAATACTTATACAACTAAGATGTCCAATGATGTCACTCACTAAGCAATATGACTTACAGAAGTATTATGAAGTATATGGCACATTATTCACTGAAATATTGTTAGGCAGGACATTTCTGAACAGTAAAATAGTGAAAGGCCAAAATAGTGAGAAAGTGATGGGCTAGGACATCGAAAGCATGTTTTTTCCAGAGGAAATAAGATTAAGATGGTGGAAGGAAGAGTTAAGCTTAGTGGTAATACACTTGCCTAGTAAGCATAGGCTCTGGGTTCCTTCTCTAGCATATCAAAAGAAAAAAGAATGGAATGTTGAAAACAAGAATAAAAGCAATAGGGACCTCAGAAAAAGACAGTTATACAATTCTATTTTTAGGATAAAGCATTAAACAAAATTATACAAATTACTTGTTAGCAAAAGTATTTGAAAAACTATCATAAAAATACCCATTTATCTTTATAAAGATTTACTTGTATGCCAATAGTTGACAAACCTCAGAAGCAGAAATATGGTGTTGTTTTTGTGGTTCCTTTTTTCTTTGTCTTTTTTTGGGGCGAGGGGCAGTGGACGGACACAGAAATAGAAGAAAGTCAGAAAGATAGTTATGGTATTCAATATACACTGTAAAAATGAACTTTGCAACTTATGAGAAGGCACAGGATGGGGAAAATGGAGGAAAGCAAAAGAAAGGGTGACATTGCTCAAGAAACACTGTACCCATTACCTGACTTAGGAAACTGTAATCCCTTTGTACTGCTTAATAATAACTATAAAAAAGAAAAAATTTAAAAAAGTAGAAATGTTGAAGTGCTTAAATCAAACCTGGTTATCACAAATTCGTTTTGCTAGTACTGCTATAAAGTAAGAAGAAATCATGCAGAAAAAGAAGTATGAACTTATTCTCCTAATGCAATACAGATGTACAAAAAATTCCAAACTTGCCTCTTTTTCAGTATCTCTAGAGATACATGTCCACTGGTTCTCCTTCACACTGTATGCCCAGAAGTCAGCTAGATCTTGTGTTCCATCCCAGCCACCAAACAAATAAACAGTCTCTATGAAAATCAGAAAAAATATGTTAAAACACACACATGCAGACAGACACAGACACAGACACACATACATTTAAGGACAGAACTATAAGCATCAGACCTAACTAGTTGTTTAAAGATCATTTAAGAAAGTACCCTTTGCCAAGCGTAGGGGCTCAAATCCATAACTGCAGCTATGTAGAAGGCCATAGTTGGAAGACTGCAGTCAACACTGGCCCCCTCAACACCCTATCTGAAAAACAAAAAGAGCTCGGACATACCTTAAGTTGGAAAGCATTAGTGTGTGGCCCTAAGTTCAAATCCTAGTATCACACACAAAAAAATGAGATTTAAAAAAAAATTATTAACTTTCTAAAACGTATACCAGACTACTATGACTGCCTCAGAAACATATTTTTGGACATTTATTTTTGTAATATTATCATTAAGTCATATTCCCTACGATTCTGACTCCATAGTTATTTAGAAAATAATAATTTTTTAAAAGCCTGAATATTTCAAGTACCCCAGATGAATCTAATAGGCAGTTAAGTTTGGAGTCTCTGTGTTAGATCATGAAAACTTTACATTTGCCTGCCTCTTAATAGAGCCACATTTTAGTCACTAAAGATCTATGAGGCTAGTGGCATGGTTCAAGTGGTAAAGCACCTGCCTCCTAAGTAGAAGGTCCTGAGTCAAACCTCACTACTACCAAAAAATAAAAAACATTAATATCTACAAGAATTTGTTCAATTATATATGTTAAAAAAAGATCTTTAGAGTTATAGACAGTGTAAAACTATAATACAAAGACATCTACCTATTACTGAATAAAATTAGACACATTAAAGGTGATTTTTTTCTATTGCAGTACTAACAAGAATGGCCAAAACTAGCTATAAAATGAAGTTATGTATCTTAAAAAAAAAAAAGCTTCAAGGAGCCAGTGGCTTATGCGTGTAATCCTAGCTACTCAGGAGGCTGAGACCTGAGGATCACGATTCAAAGGCAGCCCAGGCAGGAAAGTCTGTGAGCCTATCTCCAATTAACCTCCAGAAAACTGGAACTGGAGCTGTGGCTCAAAGTGGTAGCTCAAGGCCAAGCTCCCAGGCCAAGAGTTCAAGCTCCACAACCAACCAAAACAACAAAGCTGAAAACTGAGAGAAATTTAACTATATTGTGCTAGGTTTGACTCTTTAAAAGCCAGAAGTGGCATTGTGGCTCAAGTGGTAGAGCACTAATCTTGAGCTGAAGAGCTGAGGGACAGCGCCCAGGCCCAGAGTTCAGGCCCCACAACCAACCCCTCCTACCCCCACCAAAAGAAAACATTAACCAAAAAGTCTTTCCAGATACCTTAAGAATTTGATTTCTTCTCACTCTGAAAGGTCTCTTGCCACTTATGGACTTTAACACTGATTGAAAAAAAGATTCTGGGGGCTGGGAAGGTGGCTCCAGTGGTAGAGCACTTGCCTTGCATGCATGAGGCCCTGGGTTCAATTCCTCAGCACCACATATGCAAAAAGAAAAAAGCCGGAAGTGGCGCTGTGGCTCAAGTGGTAGAGCACTAGCCTTGAGCAGAAGGACAGCGCCCAGGCTCAGAGTTCAGGCTCCAGGACCAGACCCCCTCAAAAAAAAGAAAAAGAAAAAAAGATTCTGTCCTTTCTTACACAATGATAATGTCTTTAGTTTCTGTATTTTTATCCCTTTGTAAATATCTTATGACTATTGGGTACACAAGCCCACAAGTTTTACCTAACACAAGTTAGGTAAAACACTGCAGGAAAATGAAAGTCATTATTTGACTCTCAGAAGTAATATATCCTAAGTTTGTACATATGGCAACTATCATTTATGTTTGTGAAAGTTTACAATTCAAAATTCATGCAAAAATACTGTTAGCACTAAGAAACCAACTGCCATTCAGAGGCAAGCAGTATTCTAAGAGATTTTTTCATATTTTCATGTAGTTTCAAACTCCTCAGTGAATTTTCTAAGTAAGTCCACTCTATTCCTCAAATAACTTGGGGAAACCAAAACAATGCCTAATTTCTCTGAACACGAAAGCCCACAAGAGCAGAACTGACTTCTAGTGCTAACTGGGTATCATGGCTTAAATATGAAACGTCCCAACAGGTTTATTATTGAAAGCTTGGTCTCTAGCTGGTAGCACTAGTGGAAAGATTCACTTAGGATGTATCAATGGGGGTTGTATCTTTGGCTCCCATTTTCTTCCTCCTCCCTCTATCCTTCCTCTCACTGATCCCCCTGCCAGGCTGCCATGATAAAAGTTGCTTCACCAGACTCTCTTTACCAAGGGAGACTGCAACCTCTCAAACCATGAGCCAAAATAAATCCTTCCTTCCCCTATGTTGTTTTCTCAGGTGTTTGGTCATAGTGATATAAATGTAACTAACACAGTTGGTGACCAATACAGGTTACTTAACCTCCCTGGATCTTAGTTTTTTTTTTTTTTTAACTTACAAACTTTAAGTGTAGTACAGTTTTTCAGCTCTAAGTTACACAAAAACATCCTAAGCGCTATCAAGCACTAACATGTTTCTACCTTTAAAACATGCAAATATAAAAAAACTTTGTAGTTCTAAAGTACCAAGATATAATACAAATACGCTTACTTGATCTGATTTCTTGTCTAATTTAGTGCCAAGAATCTATTTGACACTATAATTTGAAATAATGCCAATTCTTTTAAACTACTAAAAAAACTATCTCATCTCAAAACTAAAAGAAAGCCATTGACTGTAACATTCTGCTTCCCAAATGACACAATTATGTCCAGAGACATAATTACAAAAAAAAAAGCACCCCCCCACCCGCCAAAAAAAACCCATGTAGCTTAAAAGTATTTGTCAAGGCCTCACTAAATTATAAAACCTAAGAAAAAAAAGAGGCATATAACTAAAATAGCAATAGCAATTGACCTTTTGTTTTATAGTGTTTCTGGGCACCCTTTGGATAAGGTTATCCTGGTTCATTAACTATAATAACCCTTCCGAATCTTGGGCTCTGGGTTCTCAATGTTCTTTCTCAAAAGCAGGTCTCTTTGTACACATAAATTCTCACAGCAAAGAAAACCCACATTTCCACAACAGCCTCATTGATAGCTGAGCAAAATAAAATCTGGCACAGAGCAAGCATCTCAACAGAATTAAGCCAAAATGTCATTCCTGTCCATGAAAGCGTTGTGGTTTTAGTCCAAGTTTAATATTAAAGTTAAATGAATTGGGTGGAAAATGGATCTTTTGCTGTACCTGAATGAAAATATCTAACAAAAATGTAAATAATCTAATATTAAAATCACTGAAAAATAAAATTATTATCTAGAAAAAAACACCAGAAAGTATGGTAATTCATGGATAAAAGACATAAAAGGTCTTTAAAAATTATGTAAATAACTGAAGAGAACAGTAGAGAGAAGAAAGTAGAAAAGAGAAAGAAGAAATCATTTATCTGTGCAGCAGACTATGAGAATGAAAACCATTCTCATAGATACAGGTTCTACAATAACCCATATATTATCTTGAGGTAGTAAAATCATCTTCAAGTAACAACCCTTTCTACAGACCCCATGCCTTTTAAAACAAGTTTGAGTCTCTATTTTTTTCTTAAAGGAAAAAGGCTACTGTGGTTATGTGCCTCTTTCAATACTGAAGCAGTATCTGTTCAATATTTTTTTGCATACTAATTTGAATTGGCATAGCACTTTAAGGAGTGAAAACAAAAATGACCTTAGTCCTATTTTCAAAGAACTTACAATTTAGTCAAGAATATAAAAGAAATACACAAATTACCATTTACCAGGGTAGTATTGTAGAAAGGTAAAAAAGCATTAGGGTTTAAAAATATAGAGTATACCTGGTTGAAGGGATTCAAGAAAGGTTTGTGGTGACCATAGTATTTATCCTATATATCATGTGATTTTATGTTCTGGCAGGCAGAATGGAGTACAGAAAAGAGGACTCTCAGGCACAGTTTTTTTTTTTTTTAAAAAAAAGAAAGAAAAATAAAAGGAATAGAAAAAAAACACATCATAAAAGTTTAAAAGACATGACTTCTAAAGTCAGTCACATCTCAGCTACAATCCTATTATTACAGATGTGTGAAGCCCAAAGGTCTTTAACCACTAGCTTCTTAATCTCTAAAATGTGATATGCTATCTATCTTATAAACCTATGGTGCAAGTTAAGATTGCAGGTAAAGTGATTTAACTGTGTGCTGAATAAATGCCACTGAAGAGAACATGTAAGTAATAGGCAGGTATGAAGTTAAGAAGACACACAGTGGCCAGGTAGTCAAACTATAAGATAAGGACTTAGAACCTGATTTCAGATACTGAAGGAGATATAGAAGATCTTGAACAGAGGTGCTAAACTATGTACTTGCAGCATAATACAGGCCTGATTGAAAAGGAGGCTTCAAGAAATTAGGTGGATTAAAAGTAATATGCCAGTAATAGCCTATGTTCAATTAGAAGGTATTAGAATTTGCCCCCAGAAACAACCCCTCAAGCCGCTTACTACCAGTAGTATCAATCTACACATCTTATATCCACTAAAATTTAAGTAGATATACTAAGACCAATTTGCTGTCTTCACATTTTGCAAAATAAAACAAGGCTTCTTAAGTGCTCAGCTGCATTATCTATTCTTCTAATTCTAAGGAGTAAATGAGTGAGCTTACTGAATAAACCTCCACAAGATGGCACACTATTTTCATAATTAAATCAGTTTTTTTCCCCCACTCTAAAACTGTACAGAATGCATCAACTATGTACTGACATAGCCTAAGCCAAAGAGTTAGTCATGAATCAAGTATCAGAGAGGGCTAACAAACTGGCGAATGAGATTAACTTAATTCTAAGTTTAACTAGACAATAAGAGGAATACAAATAAAATGAAGGGGGAAAAAGATTAAGAAAATGAAACATGAAAATGAAACTTGAAAATTTGTAAGGACATTTAGATACAGAGTTTAAATTCTTCTGAAAGGACAAACAGGTAAAACCT